TCAGTAGGTTCCTGGCTGTTATCATCAGTACCTGTGTATGTCACACAGATATCTTTAACAGATTTTGCTACAATGTTGGTGAAAGTTGCAGTGTCGCCAAAGTTGTAGTTAATACCTATAGAGATAGTTAGTTAGCAAACAGAGTCATGCGAGAGGAAGTAGAAGGATCGTTTTTCCTCGGAACAACATACCGGCAAGCTCTTTTCCACTAGTAGCAGTGACTGAATCCATGATAACATGTCTCTCGTACATTGTCTTACAGTTACCACATGATCTGTACAACTTTCCAAAGATATCGACAGTGAAACCAGAAATCTTCAAGGTTCCAGCTCCGTTGTGTTGGAAAACCTTATCTTCGGCTCCAAAGGCACCTCCACCAGAAATTGTGGTGGTAGCTCCAGCATCTTGGTTCTTGATGGTGAAGGCATCTTCGCAGACAGCAGACCACCATACATTGGTCAAGGTGCAAGCTCCTTGGCAATGGACACCTTCGATTTGGTTGGGTCCGATTATGACGTTAGAGAGGGATCCACCAGCTTCAATTTGGAAGACGGCATCTTTGTCGCCACCTTCGGCTTGACCGGTACATCTGACTCCTCGATCGAACATAACCATTCCACCATCGAAAGATTCACCTGCGGCGATAGTTTGAGCGGCTGAAAGGGCAGAAGTACCTGAAGAGGCGGGGAGAGAACCGCCAGTGGTACCGCTGGATGAATTGCCAGAGGATGCCGAGCTGGTGATTGTTGATGAAGCAGCGCTAGCGGACTTTGATCCAGAAGAACCTGAAGACTTGGCGGTAGAGGATGCTTTAGATGCTTTAGATGTAGAGGATGCTTTGGAGGATTTATTGGTGGAGGATGCTTTGGAAGACTTCTTTGTAGAGCTGCAACGATACAAAATCAGTATTGAGGGTAATCAGGAGCGTTTGTAAAATATATTTGATCACTAACCTTGAAGAATCCTCGTCATCTTCATCTGAAGTCTTGCGAGCGTGCACGACCTCTCTGAAGTGAAGTCTTGGCGCATCGCGTGCTTCGAGACCAGTGGAAGCATCCATAGGAGCCGCACTAGCAACACTGATTGTGGCAGCCAAAAGGGCCAATTGAGCGAATGAGAATTGCATTTTGATTTGGGTTGAAAAGTAACTGGGTTAAAACTTGAAATGAGATATTGAAATAAGTTTGACCAGCAAGGAATGAAGTAAAAGACTGAGTTGTCTGGATAGTGAATGATATAGAAAGAGTGAAAGATGAAGATGTTGATGAGGATGAGAAGCAATACTAGACGGGCATTTTGGCAACTTATATATCTGGATTGCTTCTTCCTCTCCGGATACTCATCGGCGGTGACCCCTTTGAGCTTTGGAAAAGGAGAACCAAAAACCCGTCATACTGAAGGCTGTGAACAATCAAAAAGAAACATTTGTGGAGGCCTTGCTATCTACTCCACGGAGTAAGTCCCCTACAGCTATCAACAGATAGATTGGCGTTAAAAAGATAGAAGAGTCTAGAGAACTTTAATTGATTGGACGAATTCGAAAAACGATGATCTTGAAACCGCGATGTGAGTTTGTCCAATCTCAATTCTCTCGAGACTATGTTTAGATCTAGAAATGATCAATCTGATATCACTGATATCTGGACGTTGCATCATTAGCCCCATAAGCACTTTTAATTAAATTCGAAACTCAAAGACCAAAGCCAAGATGCCAAAATGGACGTGAGAATTTATTTCGAACTGCCAAGTCAAGATGCCACCTTGTAGTTTCCTTCCTTAGCCGCTTGGCGCTTACGACTCGTCCCGAAAAAAAACCCATGCTCAAGGCTCAAACGATTGTTGATCTGCAAAACATTCACCCACTACAATATCGGTATTGCGTCTGTTGTTTTCCATGGAGATTGCAGTAGAGTAACCTCACGCCCTTAGAACAAAAAAAGACAGTGTATGAAGAGTTCAGGAAATCATTCATAAGTTCACACCACTTAACCATCGTTCACTTACCTAGAAATCATTCTGCTCGAGACACCAAAGAGCATGAATCCGCTTATGTCAACTGAGTCTAAGCTTTAAAGTTTTTCGATCTAGGAGAATTTTTTGCTTAAAAAAAGGTACCAAATATGAGAAAGAGGCTGAAACAAGCAACTGTGGAGAAAGCATATGCCATTATGGCTACAGACGTCCCATCTAGAAGGTCTGTGTCTTGGCAAGTAATTTGGGATGATTGTGATTGTTGGGATGATCCAATGACGCGCTGTCGCTGTGCGTATAATCCGGATGCATAGAAGCGGTCATTCTTCCTGCCATTGAATACATTGTATATATCATGCATCATCGGTTGGTTATGAATGAAGAGAGTGGAATTGCATGATGTGAAGTTTGAGTAAGCCGGACTGATTTTAGGTTTGGTTGAAGGTTCTCTCTGGCCCACATAAGCAAAAGCGACTGATAGATCTTTCCTTTTTCACTTCAATCGTTGACAGAATAATTCCACCACCAACATGGAAGATCTTTCTGAAGTGGAAGAGAGAACTTTAATGTGATTGCGATCCTCGAATGTTTTGATTACCTAAGCATTGTGTCCCCATTAGCGCCAAACCGTTGCCATCTTCTGTAACAGTTTCAAAACTTCGAGACCGACACTTCATGAACTGTTCATCCGACATTCTGTTTACTTTTAGAGGTTAAGCGCCGACTTGGGCTTTGTTCTCCAAACATGATAGAGTATGGACTTGGCCGGTATCCTTTGGCGAATCGAACGGTTTTCAAAACGCTCATGGGCAGATCTCAAGTGCTATCCGATATCTGACGTATTGCTGTCAGTATTTTGGCAACTGTTGAGATATTAAGAACGTATTCATTCCTCCCGCAGTTTCGCCGTCTTCTTGTGTATTGCAAGGTTTTCTTTAAAACCCTGTTCAGCGTGTGATCAATAATAAACATTCACGACCTTTACCATTATTCAACTTCATTTGTCGTCTATCACTTGGCCATTTTGAATTCCACTCTTGCTTTATCTGGTGTGATATGTTCGAGTTTGGAGGTTGTACGTGTCAATCATGTCTATCGATTACTCTCTGATATTCGTATTCTATTGCTAACTTTTCTTTTGATAATTATTGGGTGAATTTTCAATACCAGCAAATGCTACAACCATCTCAAGACTTACCATCAAGGAAAGCATGGATGACCAAATGCTTGGAAAGAAACCAATAGACCTCCAAGTAGGGGAAAACCATCCACCCATTCCCTTGTTTCTACCTGATCGCGGCGTTCTAGGAGAGTGAAAGCTCCGAAAGATGACGAAAATATCGTAGACGATAAACCCAACCTTCATCACCCGCCTCTACGCAAGACAATACGCTTGGAAATGAATATTTATCATTGGAATCTACAGAAAACTAGATCTGTCTCTTCTGATACAAATCAGACGTTGCTTTCGGATACAATGCTGTACCTCTCTTCTATGCTGACAATGTTGATGTTAGAAATTGCCCCATACTTCATCTGCATTCCCTCTCACTGAAAGATACTCTGGGGTAAAGCATGGAGTTTGGTTCAGACAAGTCGTCCTGGATCAGTACGTCGAATCTTTTTTTTTACTTGCTTTAATTGCGGCTTTGGCGTCGGATTTGGTAGCGTCTCGATCTCCGTCGATAATTCTCATTACGAACTTGTATGAAGCCGGAACTTATCGCGAATTACAAACATTTGAAGCCGTAGCTCGCATTTCGATTTGTTCTCCGTACCAAAGCTCCCATGCATACCAATATATCTTACTAACGTCTTTACTATTTGCAGACTGATCGCAGCTTGCTGAGAGATATAACAGTCTTGATGACACGGCAGCCATCCTGAACTTGATGCTTCCGACTGACTAGTCTACATTAAGAGGAGGACGTTCATGATGATACCGACCTAAGATCTATCATAAATATCCGAATCCTATGCAGTCAGCCATTCGTCGAAAAAATCAAAATCAATAAATTGTGCGGGATACTAGGAATAGATAGGGACTGAGTATGCGGCGTGAATTGAATTTCCTCAACTCTCACCGAGTGAAACCACGATTCTCTATTTTGACCGCACCTGGAAATGGGTAAATAGATCAATCCCTAGATGGTAAAGATCTGGATATGACTGCTACACATATGCTTTATCGCTAGCACATCCATCATCGCCAAATGTTCTCGATGTTAGAAAAGGTCAGTATTCCATTGCGCAGGTGAACTCGCAGCACATCGTTGAAACCATCTCTGCACCTTTCATAGATATCCACTAACAAGTAAATCGAGAAATTTGAAGGAAAAGGGGCTAGCAAAGTAGTGGTCTACTTAGTACGTCTTACCAAAACATCCTAATAAGAACGATGAACCAACGACTGTCAAAGCACATTGAGCACCTGAAAATTGCGAATCCCACAACTCATTACTATGACTTCAACCCGTCATATCATCGAACTTGGTGTAAAGTTTCTCGTCATGTAGTCTATAGTCTATAGTCTTCATCGAGACTTGAGAAATGATTAATAAGGTAGCTATACTACCAGAATGCAATGATGGTTTGACTGAACTAGAATCTTGTAAGAGTTAACGCCACTTTGAATATTGACCGGCTATGATATTTATGTTAAGGGATGATTATCATTCAACATTTAATATACCCGACCAATCAATCTCTTTAGCCAATGTTGTTCATCTTCTTCTTGTTGGTTCGTTCTACAACTGACACACTCGATACAATTGTTTCAGTTGTTATAGCCATCGAATTGCAGAAATTTTATGCATGCTGTAAAATTAATGTCACATGTGTAGGACTCGATAAAAATGTCTTTTTGTGGATGGTCAATGTTCGGAATCCTTCGCTCATATTGATAGCTCTTCGTACCTTGGTACTAATATGTCGATTTTACCTTCACTTTTTCATAGACCAATCTCAAAACCAGCACTCATTATCAAGTATTAACAAGGAATGCCACCGATCCAACATTTAAAAGATCCCTAAACCACTGGCGGCGTCCTACCCGCATTACAAGCCCCACTAATACTCTCACAAGCCAACGTCAGATTTCCCGAACTGTCTCCTATCCAGAACAAGAATGGCTTCGTGGTAGAAACTGGAATAACCCAATTCTGTTTCGTCACATCCCAAACACTGATATCCTTTCTTGTAACGGCAAGTGATACGACTTGTTTCCCTCCCGGTGCCAATGTATCCGTCTTGGCATAATTACGTAGCTGGATAATAGGAGTATCATAGGAAGAATCGGAGGGATGTTGAACGTACAGCTGGACAACAGATTTACCGGCCACGAGGCCGGTGTTGGTCACTGTGACTGACAGAGTGAACATTGTGTCCCAGAGCGCCGGGTTTCCACCTTGATCTCCACCAGATGGGGGGTCGGGTTTGGAGACATTGGTGTACCCAGTGGGATAGACGAATTTACCTGGAGTGATACTTGAAGGATTGTCGAGGTATGGGTAGAGATATCTTCCAATAGCGGAGAAACCTGCAGGCCAGGCGACTTCAGATGCTGGAGGGATGGCAGTACTATATACTGGAGTTGAGCCTTTAGCAGCTCGGGCTGGAGGAACCGATGTCAGTGCTTTTCCGGCTGCGAGAGTAGCCGTTCGAGAGAATGTGGTGTAGGAAAGTCCATGGCCAAATGGAAAGCGAGGGCTGATTGCATGCTTGTTGAGGTACCGATAATCAACATACAATCCTTCAGAGAAAGTATCCTGAACCTGGCCAAGCGCAAACCCGACAAGACCAAGGGAGGATGGGTAGTTGCTTTCCGAGACAGGAATGGAGTAGGGAAGATGCCCACTAGGAGAGTATGCGCCGAAAAGGATATCCGTCAATGAATCTCCAGCTTCTTGACCTGGCAGATGAGCAAAGAGTACGGCTTTGACTGAAGTAAGGTTTATCCAATTCTCAACAAGAATGGGTCCTACTGTATGAACAACTACCACCACGGTGGAATACTTAGCTGCTGCAGCTTGAACAAGTGCATCGCCATTATGCCATGCATACAGTCCTGACGACGAGCGATCTCCATCGTTTCCTTCTACTGTTATTGAATTCTCACCAGAGTCACTGTTTATGAATACGATGGCGATATCTCCAGGAAGAGCAGTCAGGCCAGATGGAAAGCTATCACTGGTTGAGCTATAGACATTAGAAGCTTTTCGCTTAATCGCGTCAATGGGCGCATCAAGGTAAGGGTAGTTGGCAGTTCCTATGAGCTTGATTTAGTTTACCTTTTTACAAATAAACTTTGAACGATGCATAACGTACCTGAGCCCCATCCCATACCGAGAACGCCAGTATCACAACCCCTTTGGTTGCAAGCATTAGGCCCGGAAGGATTGTTTGCAGAGTCAGAGCCAAAAACTTTCAAAGCAGCTGAGGTCGAGAGTGGCAGTGTGTTGTTGACGTTTTTCAACAGAGTTATGGCTTCTCTCGAGATATTCCGAGAAACGACTGCATGGTTAGATTGTACATTTACATGTGAATTCACTGTGCATGTTGGAGAAAACAATGCTGCTGGATAACATGGTCCAGTAGTGTCTAAAGTGTTTGCGGAGAAATTTGGTGGCGGGAAACCTTTATCCTGTCCAAGTTGATACCTATGTGATGTATTGATTAGCCATGATGTAGATACTCGTCGAAGTTTGAAACAACTCCTTTTCCAAGCGAGGCACTTTCTGAAGAAACGTTTTCTCGAGGGAACACTCACCAAGTTGCAACAATTCGAGTAACCATATCATTCAATCGATCAACTGGAACAGTTCCATTCAGAATAGCAGTTGAGAGTTCATAGGCCCAGTATGCTTGGCCGAGGAAAGGGATTCCTGCATCACCGGGCATAGCCATGTCAAGGCCAGCAAGAGCAGATGACACACCGCCAATTTGGGATAGCCAATCTGTCATCACCTATGGATATTTAGAATTGTTTGGGGTATATAGATATGAACTCTTACCAGGCCTTGGAATCCAAGCTCATCCTTGATCAAGTTGTTGATCAGGTATGAGTTTTGACTTGCCGCGCTTCCATTAACCTGCTTGGTCAGTAAAGGATTGCCAAAGGTCTACGAAGATAACACAGAAGAATCACATTTTGCCAAGGGAGTACCTGCAAATCTAGTGAATGTGCCGAGTTTATCATCGAATGACTTCCCGTTTGTATCACACCAGACTTGATAGTCCAGCTCAAAACATCATGAAATTCTCATGCGTTTGTCAAAAATATACACTCACATCATTGTAACTTGTCATAACAGCTCCAACACCAGCTTTGATACCTTCTGCAAAGGGCCACATGTAAAATTCATGAAGAGTTCTGCAAATTAGTTTCGGTAAAGTCTATATTCAAGGATACGCGTACCTATCATCGATGTTACTACTAAGAGCTTTCATCAAGCCATGAGGGATGATATCCATTCGGTATGCTTCTTGTTCATTTCCAATAAAGTGTTTGATGGTTGCTATGACACCATTCGCCTGCATACCATTGATTGTCTGAGCGGCACTTAGTCCTTGAAGTACAGGATCTAGATGACAATGAATTTAGCCTCGAATCTGATGTTAAACTTTTCAAAAGCTCTTACCAGCGCCGAACCCTTCCCAATTTCGACCACCACGCGGTTTTCTTCCAATTGGACCTAAAGATGGTCAGAAATCTGTATATTGGCCGAGGCTGAACGGGAAGAATGTCTTCGTAGTGCATCTGCCACAAATGCCCATCAAACATACCGACGGTAGGACCTAATAGAATGTTGACTCCTTTCCCCCGTGCTTCTGCGCCTAACGCAAGACCTCTTTGATAGGCTAAATCTTTGCTCCATGTTGCACCAGTGGTAATTCCAGCGGGAAAAGCAGTATTGTTATCGGTAGCAGCTATGCCCAGTGCCGAATCTTGTAAACAAAGACTTGGAATACCGAATCTTAGTGCGGAGCCGGTGTTTCCCACACATCTTCCCATCAATTCTCCAATTCCAGTTGTGAGATTGACCTTTTCCGCTAATGTCATTTGTGCCACCACAGTTTGTGCTTTTGCATAAGCAGTCGTCCAGGAACTAGCCCAGCCACCTTTCGGGGCAGGGTAATATGGAGCAGCAACATATCCTGCAGGAACTGAGTCTCTTTTCACAATTGTTTCGTCGCTAGATGGGGGAATGGGCGGAGCCTTGTGTATAAATGAAGGTATCTTAGCCTGCACAAACCCCAACAGCCACAAGGAGACAATCAAGAAGGTGATCTTGACTAGCGCCATTTTAAGGACGGTACAACCTATCAAGAATTATTTCACAGATAAGTCCTGTGAAAGTAGGTACTTCTGCAATCTTGTGGGTGGGGAGGTTCCATGATATAGAAAAACTATGTGACAGAAATCATGTATGCATGTACACCCAAGACGACTTCTTCAGGTAACTGCATTCAACGAGGATAAAAGCTTGTGATTCTTGCATTCCGAGGTCCGCAACAACCATGATCGTGTATGCTGTAAGATCTGCCCTATCATTCAAGAACCATGTTTTGCATGGGTGGGATTGACTTTCTGCGGACAAAACAGGAAGTTCAATGAACGATCACATTAAGCTCCCAAGATCATGGAAACATGGGACGGAGATGATACCTCTCGTGGAATGAGGAGAAGTACAAACAGGAGAAAAGCTCCAGTAATACTAAGATCTCCAGCTGAGGTTTGTGCTGTAGTCGTCGGTAAGATGGATGTTCTTTCCTTTTCTAATTCATTCCGTCTTGACTATTTCGTCACGAACTCACCCGTTGCCTTTTGCGGGGTTTCCCCTGACGCCCAGATTCAGTTATGCAGCGCCTTTATCCGGAGAGCCGGCTTAGGTGCAGGTGATGAAAATAATTTCAATATTTTGGAGTGTGCCACCGAGACCACCCACCAGAAATATTATCCAAGGTACAAAAGGAGGCCATTCTGCAAGATTGTGAAAATAACCCTATCGTACCCTGGCTTGTGAATTGTGCACGTCTTTGACCTTCTCGACAACGGCGACTGGCCCGAGTGACACGTCCTGTAGCATTCGTCGAATGAAGTATCATTTGATCTCAATTTGTAACCCAGAGTAACAGCTGGTATATCATCAAAACAAGCAAGGGGCTTGGTCGGTATATATATACCGTGCATGCCATGAACTAACTGGATAAGTGTGGGAGAGCGAGTGAAAATGGACAACCAATACATTTACAAGCGCTGTCGAAAAGCTTGTCAACAGGGGAATCATGAGCAAGAAGATGGATTATGCTATGTGCTCTCCTTTTGATGATTCGAGATTCAACGCCAACCTGACAATGGAAGTTACATTAATGAGAATTTAAGACATGTTACGCCCAACTAGGTAAACTTGAAGATCATTCTGGAAAGTCCGATCCACACTTCCCCCCTCTTGGGCATCGGTCACGTGTGATTTCTCGTTTGTTGTAGATTTCTGGTTACCTAAGGCGACAGACAGAGGTGTCAACGGAAGCTAAATAATAAGAATCTCGTTGGTCGCGATAACTTTCTCCAGAAAAATCTTATATTATTTGCGCCATCGATTGTCTTCTGGCATAACTGACGTCTATTTGATTGTCCATCAAAATATACTCGCTCGTTCATTTACTTTGCTATTCAAAAGCTTCTTTTCAAAATGGGAGAATCAAGGTTCGTTGAGCTGCACTCATCAACAAGAAGAATTCTCAGTCTCTGACAACATGGCACATATAGACAAGAGCTTGTGGCATGGCTTAACAACCTGCTACAACTTAACATCACAAAAGTTGAACAATGTGGCACTGGGTAAGTAAACTTCTGGCTTGCAAAAGGAGTTTTATCTTCTTTCCCCCTATAAGACTATTGACTTACAAATATCATGAACACAGTGCTGCCTTGTGCCAAGTCTTCGATAGTATTTTCCTCGATGTACCGATGTCAAAAGTCAAGTTCAATGTCAATACTGAATATGCATATCTACAAAATTTCAAAGTTCTTCAAAGTCAGAATACCCTCCCCTGAATGTGCTTTCCTCCACTGACCACGACCAGACACCTTTACCCGCCATCAAGTCGATCGAAACATCCATGTCGAACAACTTATTAAATGCAAGATGCAAGACAACCTCGAATTTCTACAATGGACCAAGAGATACTGGGATCAATACTTTCCAGGAGGAGAATATGATGCAGTAGCTCGTCGACGTGCTGCAGGGGGACCCGGTGCCGCACCATCTGCTGCTCCAAAAGTGTCCGCCGGAAGTGGTGCAGCTCGCAGAGGAGTAACACCAACAACGAGCGGCGCAAGAGTTGCTAAGGCTGGAGCCGTTGGCGGTGGTGCAGCTTCAGCGGCACTAAAAGCAGAGAACGACACTCTGAAGGAAACAGTTGCAGGACTAGAACGGGAACGAGACTTCTATTTCAGTAAACTCAGAGATATCGAATTACTGGTTCAACAAGCTTGCGAAGAGGACCCAGAGATTGAGAAGCAGGAAGACGGCTTAATCAAGCACATTCAAACTATCTTGTACTCGACTGAAGATGGATTTGAAATACCGGCGGAGGCGGAGGTTGATGACCAAGAAGAGACATTCTAGATTCTTTTTACTATAATGAGATTTGAATTTTTTTGCAGCTGCAAATGAATTCGTTGGTCCTTTCACCTGCGGGAGTTTATAGCAAGCAAGGCTATGAGATACGAATTACGAACGAGCGGAGTGTGTGCGAGGCACAATATCAAGCGCTCACAGGTTGGTAGCATTCATGGGCTACGGGAGGTTGCATGCGTTGGAACAATTCTGAAGCATATTGAGATCTCACATGATTCTCAAATGAGTTCTCTGGTTATTAAAGAAGAGTTTAATTATTAGATGTAAACCCCACAAGAGTTTTTTTTCTTCGTATAATACCAATTTGATTGTCCATCATGAGAACAAGAATGAGCTCTCACAATCACAATTAATCTCTTATCGCCAAGTGACATTTTGCGCTATCAAGCATCAAGCGTCATCCTTGTTGCACAGGACAGGGTCAGCACATACTAAGCTCACGAGGCAACCTCAAAACAAACGGTGACCACCATCTCTTTACATTTACAAAGGAAATATAACCAACAATCAATCTTCTGTATCGCATCGCATCAAACCGCATCACATCAATCAGTCAGTCAATCAATCAATCAATCAATCATGGCACCGCCTCTCGAACTCTCGATACCTAGCACAATTCTCTCAAGCGCTCCAAATGAAAAACCCTATACTCTGTACAATATCACACTCCGTCTTCCTCTTCGAACGTTCGTCGTCCAAAAACGCTACTCCGATTTTGTCACTCTCCATTCTTCACTCTGCACCCAAGTTTCCAGTCCGCCTCCCGCTCCTCTCCCAGGGAAAACATGGTTCAAAAGTACGATCAATTCTCCTGAATTGACGGAAGATCGTCGTCGCGGTCTCGAAACCTATCTCCGCAGCATCGCAGAAAATCCCGATCGGAGATGGAGAGAAACAAGCGTTTGGCGACAATTTTTAAACCTGCCTAGTAATAGTGGAAACGCGAGTTTGAGTAGTGCGAGAGAGGGGCTCATTGCTGCGAATCAAAGAGGTGTAGGTGGGAATGCGGAGGTTATGGCGGATCCGCAGGTGTGGTTGGATGTTCATCGCGAATTGAAGGCGCAGTTGCATGATGCGAGATTGTTTTTGGGGAGGAGAGATAGCGCAAATACGGCGGCGGGCCAATATGAGGCGGGCGCGAATGCGAAGAGGTGCTTGGTTAAGGCTGGAGGACTGCTTAAGGATTTGGAAGAAGGCTTGAGGGTCATGGGTGAAGGGGAGAAAAATGGGAGGGGAGAGGCCAGGGTCGGCGCAGGTGAATTGAGGAGGAGGAGGGATCTTTTAGGTAGCGCAAAGGTGGAAAAGGAGGGCTTGGAAAAATTGGCTGTTACATTGGCGGTTAAGAATCAAGCCAGCTCGAGTTCAGCAAACGGCGGTGCAGCAGCGACGCAAGCGGACAAAAACGCATTATTTGGACCAGGAGTATCGCGACCCAGTGGACGAGTCCTTGGCGCACCGGTTCCTGAAACGGATAAAACGAGAGAATTGGATAATGAGGGCGTGTTACAATTACAAAAGGAATTGATGCAGAATCAAGATCTGGATGTGGAAGAACTTGGCAAGATTGTGAGGAGACAGCGAGAAATGGGATTAGCGATTCACGGAGAATTGGAATTGCAAAACGAGATGTTGAAGAGGGTGGATGAGGACGCTGATAGAGTTGGGGGGAAGATCAACATTGCCAAAAAGAGAATCGCAAAGATTCGGTAGATATGATACATATTGTACGAAGTGGAAGGCATGGAATGTATATGGTCATTTTACAATGGGAATCAGCGTGGAGTTCATGGGTCTCCTTGCTCGCTACTTTGATGCATAGGAAGAGGGATAAATTGGGATGACAGGGAATACTTGTATATTGTACTTTTAATATAGTTAATTGAGGGGGACGCGCAGTATATGAATAGTTTAATAATGTAGCTTGTTGGGAAGTCTAACGTCCATAGCATGGGATATCATACTATTTTTTCTTCATACGTACAAGTTGTTCTAGCAGCATACCCTATTTTTCATGAGCTGAAAGCTGTGAAGATGTATTTATTGATATTTGATAGATCCTCTAGGTGTTGTCAAATACCTACCTAGTACTCTTTGCTCTAACGCATAATGTGCTAGTTACCTACCTAGTAGCCCAAAACGCCAAAAACACCCAAAACTTACTAGGTATTTGTCAACTACCATCGTAGGAACTTCCCTCCCATCTCAACATCTAATTCTTATTCCCAAACATCCAACATACCCTCAGATATAACCAACATTCTCTTCAGAACATCTATCCAAACCAAATCTTAATTTCCAAACACCTTTTTCAAATATACTTACTGACTCTTCCCTTCTCGCTCACTCAATCCATCGTGTTCCATCTCGGTTCGCTTCATTCATCTAGTTCTCTCTCTATTCTACACCCCTTCTTCCCATCCGGGGAAGCGAGTCTCGGGATGTTGATAGGTATTTAAATACATCATCTCGATACCTAAGGATAGATACTTTGAAGTGACTTAATAAATTAATATATCATTATGATTACCAAAATGCTTGGGAGTTATCATATATTCAATGCTAGTAGTTTGAAACTCATGATTCGAATCAATTATTAGAATAAATAAATAAATAAATAAATCAACATACTTCCAAATCTCAAGTTACTATATCTAATATATCGAAGAAAATATATATAAAGTTAATAGTATATCTAGATTCTACTGATAAGATCTTATCTATATACAAGATTAATATAAAAATATCTATCAAAACAAATAATCATTAGTTTATATATTCATAAGCGAAGAGTTCTATATACTAGTATCTAGATAGATTTTAACGATTTCTATATATAAGCTAGGAATATAAAGTAATATAATGCGATGCGATATAAGGTGAGGTGAGGTAAAATTCATTAATTATAGATTAAAACGTATAGAGTAAATGATTTGAGATATACATATATGCATCTACGAGTATATATTCGAGTCTTGAATAAGTCATCGTTCGTTCGACTTGATAAAACTATTGATGTATATGTATATGTATGTATTGAATTTATATATACATGTACATATATTTATATTATTCATTCATTTATACCCCGTTACCTAGAGACTCAGTCTCCCGATTAGAACTAAGTAGGGAATGATTAGATCAAAGTTATACAATATGCTATCAAATACATGTATCGATTTATGTTACATCCTTTTTCTACTTCGGATGAAAAGGTTTCATTCACCATACTGATTCGAATGAGATATGTTCACTTGATCATTTCGTCCCATGAGATGCCTTGTCCTCAATATCCAATAAATACAAAAGAAATCAACCTCACATCTCACGACAATCATTAAGCAAGCAAAAAAAAAAGAAGATATTCAAAGATTTATTTATTCCATCAATTACATCGTTACCTAGGTATCCCACCACTACCATCACTATCTGTCCCCTCATCCTCCACCCCCATTATCAAACATTCCACAACAAACATACTCCAAACCTCAAACTTTAGTACAGAACCGGGTATTCAAGATACATACAATACGCTCTCTAACCAAACACCTCACAAAAATTGAAGAGGTACTGATACCCAATTCCATTCTAAATTCCCACAAGAAAGTTCCGACTAAAACTCGACGTCTCCCGTACGCAAACAAACACATAAACTCCTTTAGATGAGTGGAAATACTGCAGTATCAAAAACAGAGACTTCAAAAACAAAACAAAATAAAAACAAAAATAAAAACTCCATCGCTGATGCTTCTGTCGTGTTGTAAATGCTAGACTTGACTTTCGGGACTCATGATCTTCTTCTTACTCGCATCCCTTTCCTCTTCTACCGAGGGATGCAACTTCGCGTTCCAAACTCCACATTCCATGGCGTATTCCGGGGGGTTGAAACCTTCCCATCGCCCTCGACCCTCAAAACCATCCCAAGTTATCCAGTGTAGCTTTTGCATCATTAGGGCTCATGCCACTAACACCTAAACTTCTCACTTGGGTTCCCCTCCTCAATCTCTGTAACCCTAATGCTACCTTCCAAGCCTCACTTTCTTGAACCACAAAGACATACTTTTTGCCTTCTTGGTCCCTAATGCTCGCCCTCAAAATATGCAGACCAGCTGTTTTATTCTCACCAGTCTGCGCATTATGGTTAGTGGTTCTCTTTGATTTTTCGCCATAAGGAGAGTTAGACGACCCAATGGAATCAGCATAATCAGATGAGACAGACGATCTAGTATCAGATGAAGCATAAGAACTGGCAGAATAGACAGAACCACTAGCAGAATGCGCAGTGGAAGAATTAGAAATGGCACGCGCGCGACAATTATCCCGGCAGAGTTGCAGCATACTAACTAGAAGAGCGTCTTTTTCTTCTTCACTTGCTGCTAATTCTTTATCGAGACCCCAAAGGCGTCGAACGGGATTTTTGTGAGCAGTGGTAGCGGGAGGAACACGCGATGCTTGTCTGAAAGATGGGCACCATACCTCTACGAGTTTCATTGTCCATGCTTTGACATCCCACTCTCGTTGAGCGACACCTCGTACATCGTCATCAATGAAGAGACCCTCTGTTGTGATTCTTAATATTAGTCCGTCGGTAACAGAACCGACACCAGATAGAAGTTGAGATGTAGGGGTTTTGTGGAATGCATTATTGAATGCGAATACACCTTTGATAACAATTTTATCCGGATCCTTGGTGCTATATGCTGCTCGTGTGGAAGGAGGTGGGGTAGTTCTACTCGTCGATTGTGAGGCCGCGTATGAGGATTCGGAATACAAGGAACTGAGTGACTTTTTTCGGGCTGGTCTTGGCGTTTGTGCATAAGGTGAGTGGGACTGGGCATCCTTGTCGGTACCTGCATACGTTCTTGCATTTGAGACCGGGGGTTTCTTGAATGCGGTGGATTGTGCTTGAGGTCGGGGTATAGAGCTGGTAGTGGGGGGAGCGGGTGTTGTTGTGGGCGGTTTTCCATTTGGCCAAGGGCTTATTCTCTCCCCCACTCCAGCATTCGAATACGTATTCGGTTTTCTCCGTTCCGCTGCGAGTGCGGCTAGGGCTGCCCTTTCACGTTCTTCTTGGAGTTTGACTTCTCTTATTTGCGCTTCTACTTCGGCTGCCCTTTCACGCTCTTCCTTGAGCCTGAGTTCCCTCATTTGAGCTGCTATTTCGGCTGCCCTTTCACGCTCTTCCTTGAGTTTGAGTTCCCTCATTTGAGCTGCTATTTCGGCTGCTTTCTCGCGCTCCTCCTTAAGTTTGACCTCACGTATTTGCGCCGCTACTTCCTTCTCGCGCTCTTCTTTGGCTTTGGCCTCACGTTTTGCTGCCGCTGCGGCTTTAGCATCTGCCCATGCTTTCGCAGCAGCTCTTGCCTTTTCCGCCTTTGCTTTTGCCTCCGCATCTGCTTTTTCCTTGTCTGCTCTGGCTTTCTTGTCGGCTTCTACTCTAGCAATAGCTTCTAGTCGTAATTTTTCTTGCTCTTTCTTAATTGCTTCCTCTTCCTTCCTTAAAACCTCCCTCCTGGCTTCCTCTTCTTTCCTTAGAGCCTCCCTCCTAGCTATTTCCTCTCTAAGTCTTCTATCGTAGTCCGCTCTTGCTTTGGCCTCTGCTTCTGCCTTGATTCGCTCTGTTTCTGCCTTTATTCGTTCTCGAATTTCGCGGTCCGCCTTTGCCTTTCTCTCTCGAGCCTGTTGATCCTCCCTCTCCAACTTCGCCAACCTTTCGCGTTCCCCTCTTTCCTTCTCTCGGGCTGCTCGTTCTCTCTTCTCCCGAGCCTCCAGCTCTTCCCTATCTCTTCGTTCCTTGGCTTCCCGTTCCTCTCTCTCCTTTCGCTCCCTTGCTTCTCGTTCCTCTCTTTCCTTTTGCTCCCTAGCTTCGCGTTCAGCCCTCTGTTTTTTCTCGCGGGTAGCTCGTTCCAGAGCTTCTTTTGCTCGCAACTCTCTCAATCTCTTTTCCAAATCTTCCTTTCGCTTCTTCTCGGCCTCTGCCTTCTTTCTCTCTTCTTCCTTCCTTCTAGTCCTCTCTCGAGCCTCTTCCCACGCCGTCCTTGAGGCATTTTCTTTCGATCGAGTGTCATCGTTTGCGCCAGGGGTTGTGCCAGGACTGTACCTTGGTGTTGCGCCCGGCATCTCTGGACCGGCATCAGGCGAAGGAGGAGGAGTTTGTTCCCAACCTTCACTTGATCTTTTTCTTGCGCCAGATCCGGCCTGCGGATTAGGTGGAGGTCCCCCAGCCCCCTCTGATGTGGATCCAGGTGAAAATCCAGTTCCTGAAGTTCGTGGCCCACCAGTTGAAGCTGATCCATTGGAATATGTGTTATTATTGGCACCTGAAGATGATCCACCATGCGGAGGTGCACCCGATCCTTGACTTGGTCCGGGCCTGGTCTCACCGTTCGATTGCATCCGCCCTAGTGCCCAAGCTCCCAACCCAATTGCAACCATCAAAATCAAGGTTGCTGGCCCTCCACCTCCTTTCATGGAATCCATGAGTGGTTTTAATATGAAAGTTAGTGCGACAAGCACAAGAGCTGAAGCAAACCCCGCTACGAAACTATTAACATTTGGTTGTAGTGAGGGTAAGTAGAGAAATCCTGAACCTGACGCATGTGGTGGAATGATAAAAATGTCATAATTCCCTGGCGGTAGACCGGATGATTTTGGCGGAGTGCCATGAGGGGGAGGGGGTGGTGGTGGTGGTCCATCAGCCATTGTATTTGATGTGAATTATTGCTTGAAGATCGATATGTACAGGTAATTAAAAATCGTGCGTTTTGATTGTGAATCGCTATTATCGAATTCGCAGAGGGTATCTCGAAAGGATGAAAGTATCGTCATTAAACCATGGATAACTGTAGTGTAAAGCAAGACATCAGCTTCCAAAGATTTCCTTTTTCAAGCAGGATTTGCGCAAATGAACAAACCCTCCAGAAGCAAATATCGCAGAACTCCCGAGCTACTGTTGACCAACGGGGAAACGAGTACCTTGCTAGCAATAATCATTCGACACTTTACTAAGATACATCCATCCAAAGTTCCAAACGGGATAAACTTGCGCCGATAATGAATGGGCAATATTTGCAAATTGAATAATAAATTATCTCCTTAATCTCACCCTCTTGTCGCACTCTGTCTGTATCTGTATGATCCGAACTATTCCCACCGAAGCAAATAAGAAAAAGAGTTCACAAGGGAGGTGTGGTTAATTTTAAAAGTTGTATGGGATCAATCAAAGACGAAGGGTCGTAATTCGTGAAGGCTTCAGGACAGAAAAGTCAAAAAAGTAAAGTTCCCGTGTGCCAAAATGATACTTTTCACCAGGGTTCCTGAGGTGGAGGGTGGAGGGTGGATAGGTCGGTGGTACTTACTATAGGCGAATGCACCGCGATAAGTTCTCGAGTCTGAGAGGGAGAAATGATAAGGAAGGATCAATTAGATTAATGAATAATTGAATAATTAATGTTTTACTTGTAGTCTTACAATTTGATATCAAGTTTGATTGTGATGTTGATGTTGATATTGATTGATATTGATATTGATTGATATCGCCATAGAAAGTTTCTACACAGAACATACTGGCTGTACTTTCCCAGCCAGCTAGAAATTCATAATCCTCATAAGAGTTGCAAAAGCTATATGCTTGCTTGCTTGCTTGCTAACTACCTACTAACTAGCCTTCTTCCATCCCATCCTTCACTCAAAAACACACCAAAAACACGCTTCAAAAAATAGGATATTCCTTGTTTACTTCTTCAAGACCAATCATGGCGTGGATCATATCAATAGTCTCAATATCAATCCAATCACCATGAGGACGTTCAAGCCAAATTTCCTAGAGACGAAATCATCATCAATTGTTGGTTCACACTTGCTAGGTCTGCAGTACACTTTACTATTGTACTAGGTATTCTGATAGCTATTTACCTAGGTACCTACCTACCTGGTATCTCTGGTTCAGCAATATCACTCGAGAATCTTCATTATCATCTCCACCTTCCTTTACCAAATAAACAGCACGACGACCACGTTTCCCTCACCAAGAAGCATTCATCCGTCCAATAAATCTCTCGTACAAGTAACTTTGCTTTCGTCCTACTAGGTACTTATACCCCACCATAAAAGTTGATACGACGGACTAATAATACCGGGTATGTATCTCCATTCAATCAAAAACCAAACTATTGAAGCAAACCAGCGCCAATACCAATTCAATCCATCCAATGATTTCATTCCATCCAATCATTCCAATCCAATCGACATTAACTTCTTCATCTGCACTTATACCGTTGAGACCCTCTATGCGGTCCAACCCATCATGTCACAGTCTCACCATATCACACGGCATATGTCTAGGTAAACAAGGGACGGTCCGCTCACTAGGATGATAAAATTGTCTAATTTATCCTCTTCTTTCGGTTTCTGTCCACCATTACCAATCATCTATCATTCATCATCCATGATCATCTATTTTTCCTGGCGCCAGCATCATTATCATTCTTTAAATTTCAAGAGGTCCAAAACACTCCCCCCCAGCACTGGTCTCACCAAACCCGCTTTTGTGGTTCGTCAGTTTTTTTTTTCTTTCTCTCTGTCGCTTCTTGTGGGACGTTACCACGCGAAACGAAACAAGTGGGTTAGAGCGTTGCTGGGGGCAACAGATGAGCTGGATGACGTATTTGGTGTATCGAATGAGATGGTAGTTACACTATCATTGGATCTAAATAGAAAGAGGGTTAAAAGACATGAAATTTGGATTTAATGACCGTACATGGATGGACTGAGTGGTTGAAAACGTCCTATCAAAGAAGTATGCATTGATTCGAGCCAGTTGAAGGCAAAGTTAGTGTTGTGAAGTACAGATTTCGAGCAAAGTGCGAGGAGAGAATAGGCGATGAAAAGTTTCGTGAGCTTAAAGCTCTCAGAATGTCTTTCTGTTCAATTAAGCCATTCCTATCAACATACGACGACCGCAACGATTGACGCGAAAGTAAAATACTGACGCCGTTTCCAAGTATCAAATAGTGTCTCCTTATATAGTAGTGCTATATACCTTGTATACTACGTACACTTAAGGGTATATCTTAGACTATAGCCATCTTCTGGAAATCCCACTTTATCTTCTGCGCAAGATGGTCAAATTTAATAAGATCGAGTTCCGGTATATAGGCCGTCCCGACTATATTGTACTCAGGCCATTCACACTCTTTCCCTTTTTTACCCCTCTGTGCGTCTTTCAGCCTCCTCAAAATCAACGGACTCTGCGAACGCGCAACCATAACCACCAAATCCCCCTTTTTGACATCAATTGTCCCATGTACCTCGCGCTCTTCACTGTCTTCCCAAACGCTCATTGGTAGAAATTCCATCTCAAAAAGTGGGAGTTGTCTCTCACCTATTGGTCGCTTCTCATGTTCTAGCTCTTTGTTGCGCCGCCCATTGTTCTCTACTACTCTGATCGGCTTTCTGATTTCGCTAAGCACATGCCCATAAATCAGCAACTTATCATTTTCAGTATGAATGGCCCTCTTCTGCCTAGGTAACCTTGTACGCGATGCATCTCCTGGTGGTAACCTCCAACAGGAACTTTTCGCCTCTCCTAATCCAGGTAGGGGTGACGTGAAATTTGGCACCCATGACGGCCATTGTTCTTCATTCATCGGCTTCGCATGTGTGTTAACCATTCGGAGAACGTCCAAGTTATTATTCTGCGCCAATATGTATTTTGTCGTGTCAGTGCACAGCTTCTGGATCGATTGTCTGTAATCGATCTCTGGAAACCGTACAAGGCGATGCCCATTATAGCTAGTATTTTTCTCTGCTGTCAATCCTAATAGACTGTATATCTGATCCTCTGGCATTTTGGAACCTTTCCCCCTAAAGGTCGCTAAAAGCTTTGCAAGATCTAAGGCTCCATTGTATTCTATAATACTCTCGATCAGTTGGTGGATTCGCCATGTAACCTCCGGCTCAATACGACATTCAGAGGGAAGCTCTCTCTGGATTTCAGGAGTCGCATACAGTAGTTGAACAAAGCGAAGGATATCGGTTATGTCGTAATCGCCTACAAATATTGATCGGTTGGAAGAGAGTACCAATTCCTGTATTATCCAAGATCTGGTGAAATAGGAATGATTAAGTATTTTCCTGATTGCTTTCCAACCGGAACTATGTTCAGGCCCAGTGTGCCAGTCAATTTTTTGTACGACAAAGTCCTTCTCGTCTTCCTTGAGATATTGTCCTGCTATTGTTACCATATTCAAATCCATTTCCGTTCCAGAGATGAATTCCCTAAGTATCCTATAAAAAAGTCGCCATCTGATCGCAGTCCACGAAGTGGAATGCAAAATATCCCAGTCGCTCTCAAGCTTTGAATTCTTCCGCCCGCGCACTTGTTCAAACTCTGTAAGACAGTGAGATATAAGTGCCAACCCAGCAGGTATATCAACAGATTGATCGTCACTCCCGAGCCAGACGCGCACATTGGTGGCGTTTTTATAAATTTGATGCATAATTCTCAGCTGTTGCTCTTTTTCGACATTATCGTTTTGATCAATACAGATTGCGTCTATCCAGAATGGCGAGAAATTATCGCCACGTCGAATGGCAAGAAGCGCAGAATGGAGGTTAGATGTAATATCGAAGGGTTTGCCATTTAAGATCACTGATCTGTGATAGATATTAGCCAAACTTGTCTTTTAAAAAAAACTTAATCGTCTTAGCACTTGCCAGACATTTTTCAATTTTGTTCTGATGCGAGGCTCGACGACTACTAACTCGAGATATATATTGTTGAGATCGCTTATGATGGAACTAAGTTGTAAGAGATCACATACATCTTATCTTTCTTTTCGTCTTCATCCCAGGTATATGACAACGCCTCATATCGGGGGACATACTTCGCAGGAATCCATTTCGTATGGTCGAGTGGGCGAAATCTAATACTGTTCATATGCAACTCAATCGGGTCTTCGGGTTTCCCAGGCCGGATGAAGATCAACCGAATGTATCCTTGTGGCAAAACATTGTGTTGATATGATAAAGGATTATCTAGATTTTTACTGAGTAACGGTGGATATCTTGGATATGAAGAGAGAAGTTCCCTTCCCACATCGAATACTGTATGAATTGAAATAGGAAGAGATACATAGATGAAGAAACGTGCAGCGAGTCTTGTCCATGGCGACAGAGATTCACGCACTTTCCATATTGCGGAAAAGCCTACAAAATACCAAATAACAACAGGAACACAGAGTAGAGCCGTTCCGAGGCCAGCTTCCCGTTGTGGAAGAGATCTACGCAGCTTCGGTACCTCATAGATACCTTTGTAAATCGAAGTACAAACGAACCCATAAATGAAAAGTTTTGCAGCGAATCTTATGAGTCGCCATCGAGATACGAATGATTTTTCTATTGTAAGGGCGACAATATCAAGTGGCGCAGTGATAATCTTAAGAGAGAATAGCTTTGCAGCGAGGCCCTTCCATCGTGGCGGAGATGTAGATGGAGAAGCGTACTTGATGTTCGTTTGTCGAAAAGATCTATTGATAGACGTTCTGAAAAGGCGAGGAGCGATGAAACTATTGGCAGCCTGACTTCTGAAAGGTACTGGTCGACACCGTAGAAAGGAGGAGGCTAAAGACATATCGCCAGAATTTACTTCACTCAGACATTCTTTTCACGATGAGTTGATGATGGGGATTTCTTGTTTATGAGATTGCGAACACCCCACGCGCTTGCAAGCACGCGGCTGAAAAGAGTAGGTGCGGCAAGGATACTTGCATTGACCCGTGCCAATAATAACTCCAAAGCACAATGTTGCATTCAGCTGGTGACGATCTCTGTAACTCTGGAGGTTGGGCACTTCTTTACATTGTTATCTTTGGGTATCAATGATACTGATGTTTCCTTATAGACGGCGCTTGTTTGGTAAGGTGTATCGGCTGAGTGGGTGAAAGGCTGGAGGTTACAGACAGCAACGTATGCCGAACACCCGGTCTTCTGGTGTGGATTGATCGCACATATTGAATGGCAAGTCAACTCTATGGTGAGTGATGAATAACAAGAGTTCTAACACGTTAATATACTACATATGAGGCACTTCTACACTACTGAGTTTCATCCCATTCACGGAGTATCATATATATCTTCGACCAGCTGGGTAGGGCTACCTATCCACACGATATCATGTGTACGAATAAATATACCACCACTAGGTACTCCCGCCAAACCTTTCCAGGTAGATAGCCGTAAAACTGCTTCTTTACTTGAAACTCGAAAGGTACTCCATCTTGTCGCATATTGAGACTTTACGATGACAGGAGCAAACCCTTCGGATCTTTACATACGAACCAGCCAAGAACTTACATTCCCACAAGACTTGTAAACCACGGTGAGCCTAGAACCAAATATATGTCTAGTCCGTGGGAGGTACTCTTCGCAGTAGATAGTTCTGATACCTGGTGAAAGTCCTAGAGAGAGTTTAAGGGATGACGTGGTCTGAATGATTCGGGAACTTGTCCCTTGAAAATGAGTCGAGGTTCGGATGACTACTATTCATGCTACCTACGATCATCTAGTCTATTGGATAGAAAGAAGTTGTATCATCGCTTAATGATTTGGTTTTATTTTTCAGCAACATTTTGTCTGGCCTATGTATTTTCGCAATGATTACTAGGTACCTATATCATATAACCTGCCTAAGCTTGTCTCATATCTTCGGATGAATATAACTATAATCACCACATGATAAATTGATTACTCAATCTTGATTATAGGTTTCTGTCTTATGTCCTTAATCTCCATAGCATTCGTACATCTTGCCTGGAGAGAAATGGAGATTGAGTCACACTTCAGGTAACTTCATTTACGCCTCTATTGAACGACTTTGAATGGAATCAAACGTCCGAATCAACACTTATCATTTCTGGACATTTTCCTCAGTTAAAAACCTAAATCCGCGTTGTCTGCCTTCAACACACTGACGATACTCCATCCTGCCTAGAAACATGTCCACATTTCGGTATTCGTACTCGTATAGGATACACGTGCGTAATTCTCGATACTCCGTCGTAGTTGCGACCTGATCTTCGGCCTAGACTGGGGTCATCCAGTATATCGGGATCCCCATCGACATTTGGTAAAGATGTACGAATGAGGCGAGGTTGAAACATTCTGGAGGCTGTTGAACGTTGAAGATGGATATTATTCTTTTCGCATCGGGTTTCTCCCATGTTCTTCGATGCGTCACGCTAAGAACTTCGCCACTCTCACCCCAGACACCAGCCACACCACCATCGCCCAAAAATTCAAGCAGGAGGCAGGGCAGGGCTTCCTTCAACCACAACACAAACATTAACGGGACCATACTTCAGATATGCAACAAAACAAACAAATTCTTAACATAGGTATTTTGATATACCAAATAAACCAATCAAGGTAGATCTCCAACACATGCTTCAGATCTTTTGCCTCATTCTCGGATGCCACCTTGATTGAAACCACCAAGGGATCCTTGTTTATGATGGATGACACTGCCACGCCGGCCGATTGTGAGTCACTTACCTATCTCCCAGGAAGTGATTTGGAATGAATGAATTAACGACTCCGAACAACGGATCAAATTGGAATTGTGGTGTGTAAACAAATATTCGGGTATAAGCACATGATATGGTGACATATAGAAAAAAAAGATATATTCGAGTCATCGAGTGGTGACTATTACTTTCTATTAGTGTTGTGACTCTAAGGAAATATCGAGAAAGAGGATATAAGTAGAATATCTTCCTCTTTCATTTCATCTTTTTGCTTTTTTTATCGTTTAATTCGATCTCCGGTGCTCTGTTTATCCTTGGGGGTTTTATCTACTCTACTCTACCTTTCGCTCTCGGGATATTGTTGTTACCTTTGCATCGCATCTACATATCAAAACTTTGATACTCTAAATCTCCACTCAACCCCAAAGTAACACTTCTATATTCACAATGGTCACTACAAATCTATCCTCCTCTTCCTCCTCCCCTCTCCTCCCTCATACTTCAGACTCCTCTCCTCCGATACAACATCGACAAAACCGACGTCGCGAAAGACCAGGTTCACGCGCCCGTCGTACCATCTCCCGCAAATCTGCCCTCGTCACCGATCTCAACGAAGGCATTCTCGAAGCTCGAGACTCCGACTTCTATATTCCGAACCATAGATCCGGTACTGGGCCCTCTCCAATACTAAGACAAAGCTTTGATCAAAGTTGGATGAGATGGAAAGCCAGACAAGCTGCCGAGCTAGAAAATCTGGGTGTCAAGCAAATTATGCGACAATTGGAGATGGAGAGACAAATCATGATGAGGGAAGCGAAGGGAATGGAGGAGGAAGAATTGGGGAAAATGCAACGCCGACTTTTTGGTGGTGACGAAGATGACGAGGATGTGAGTTGTGATATTGATCTTTGTCCTGCTATGCTGGATGTGGTGATGAGACTTTTTGATGGAGAGGTCGATTACTTGGATCCCTAGTAAGAGTCTTATCTTAAAGTCACCTCATTTCTATCGTGTCTCGGTTCCTCGATCAACAGAACCTCGGGTTTCTTTGGCTATGGAGTTTGGATCGTCAATATAGGGCACACCATATGGATGAGTGCTTACGCATTTTTCTCCTCCACAGGCGTTATGTTGTATGATGGCTTTTCATACATTCACCTCCATATCAAGACGTCGGAGACAAATTCGAAATGTCGAAATGGGGGAACTAGCTCCATGCACCTTCCGACCACCTACATTGCGCCGCACAGAGACAGCATTATAAACATGAGCCTTCAAGATCATATATCATGATCTGATCTCGGCAAAGGAAAGGATACATACCACTCAATTTGTGTGTGAGGATGGACAAGTGGAACTGCTCAAGATTTGTGTCGAATCAATACCTCACAACATCACTCGATTTTATTTGTTATATATCTCGAATCCGGATCGGGATATAACACAGTCATTACCACATTTTAGTCTTTTGACTTTGTGTTTAGTATCCTTCAACAACTTCGGATGTCGATACAATCTCATCTCTCTGATCAACTCATGACAAAGAATATTTATCTCGCCAATATCATATATCCACCTCCACACAATCAACACCTCCGCCACTTGCCACTCTTTGAGGCCCACTTTACGCCCACGGAAAAACCAAACTCGACTCCAGGGCCGAAAAAATAGCAAAAATATCAAATACGATATCCATCGAGTGACGACTCGCAAACAATCTCTGATCAACCACTATATATTTTGTATTCTGTTCCTCCCCTCCCTATACACCTACCCGTTCGAAAGAAAGCTCGCACTTCTTACGAAAAGAAAACCTAAAAAAAAGAAGAAAAAAAGATATTGAGAATACATCTCCATAGACCGCAACTCTCTTTCCACCAAAAGGAATGGAGTTTGCGAGAGGAGCAGTATCTTTTTTTCTTCTAGTGTTTTTCTTCTCGATTTACTCTTTTAAATTTGGGGAAAGGGGGGATTGGATTAAGATAAAAGTTTGCAAAAACACAAAAAAAGAAAGAAAGAAAGGAAAAAGGAAAGGATATCATTGAGAATACATCTCCCTAGACCGGCAATCTCCCTCCACATAAAAAAGGAGAGGATTGTACGAGAGGAGCAGTGATGTTTTTCTTTTCTCCTCTTTTTAACCTTTTTTTGGTGAATAATCAATATCAATCTTTTTGATATGAGAGAATGGTCCTCAATAGCTTGATGGCGATTTCGGTGATGTTTTTATTTGTTTGTTTTTTTCCTGTGTGGAACATGGGGATGGGAGATGACAGGAGGTAGGAGGGGAAATTATATCTAACAATAGCTGTTGTGCTCACTCTCGTGAAGGAAGAGGAAGAAATCAGGGAAGACGTACAATGAGGATTTGGGAGTTGTTTGAGCTCGCTATTGTGGGGTTGGGTTGGGGTTGAGAGGATAGTATATTGTTTGGATCTTGGATGGGGAAAGGATAGTTCTATTTTTAATACTTTGAAATTTATTCAATTGATATACTTTCTCCCAAATATGCAGTATATATATGAATTATGGTACATACCCGTGCTTGCTAACTACATCTGTGAATATTGTTCGAGGCTCTGAGATGCGGATACATCAGGGTACTAATTATATGAAGGAAAATTAATATTTGTCTTGAGTACCTACCTAGCGACATCATTTCCCGAGCAGATGAGACGATGTGAGAAATCTCAACGTTCAAGTCCCATGAGCAGAATACATTCATGACGTCAGGAATTCTTCCGCCAAGAACCGAGGAAACCCAAGCCCAATTAAACCACCAACATACAATCCACGCTTCACCTTCTGGACTCTCCCACCTTTACTCTCGAATGCACCTCTAATTTCTCATCCCCTCTCCCGAAACCTCACCCTCAACTCCCCCAAATCCAACGTAAAAACCTCCTTAGTATCCTTGCTCCCCCTCCCAATCCCAATCCCATCTCCTCTCCTCTCCCCTCAACCCCCCACTCCCTCCCCAGCAATTTCTCTCCCCTTTCTCCCTCCGCAAACCCCATATCAAAAAGCATCACCATCCTCGCGACCACCGCTCGCAACTCCATCAACGCGAGTTGTTTACCGATACACGAGTAGTTTCCCCGCGCTGAAAGGTGTGAATGCGATTTATCGAGAGGTATGCGCGTTCTCGGGGTCGGGGAACCAGCGCGTGGGAAGGAAGCTGTGGGGAGAGGGGTAGCAGGATTTTACTGGGTGGCGTGGTTAGGTTTTAAGATTAAAAGAGTACGGGGGGAGAAAGAAGAGAACATACAACGACCCATGGTCCACGTAGGAGCCGAGATAACCACATTACCCGGGATATACGTTCCATCAATTGTCAAACCTTCAGATGGTGTTTGTCTCAGTAATCCACTGGGAACGGGTGGATGTAATCGAAGCGTCTCGTTAATGACGGCATTCAGATACGGCGCATCTTGGATATCTCTACATTCGCTTGGAGAACCGGGAGTAAATATTGGTTCGAGCTCTTCTCTCAATTGAGCCACGTGATGCGGTCCAAGACAGAGGTGGTAGAAAAGATATGTGAGTGTTGCAGATGTAGTATCGCTACCTGCTATAATAGCCAGACGTGAGTCACCGTGCAGCCATCTTGCGAGTTGTTCAATGGTTAGATGATGGCAATCGAAAAACGGATTGGAACTACAAACCTGGTATCTCTATGGATTGGATCTGGATCATTCTTCTCAGCGTCGATGAGCCACGTCATGATATCTGGTACACTTGGCTCATTCTAATTTGTCAACTGTTAGTGAGTTTCTGGAAGTGGGAGTGACGAGAGCACACTAACTGCTCTGCGGATATCAATATGCTCAGCACAGTAGTTAACAAATCTGTTGAACCCATCCATTGCACCCGGAATCTTGATGAGGATAGGGAAGACCCAAGGAATAGGCGTAAGAATCCCTAATGGCTCCATGCCCTCTTGTAAAATTTTGAGCGCAAAATGCTGTGCCTATTAGTCAACACGAACACACATATAAACGTGGGAAGGAGAAAACCTTTTCTCCCGTTTTCAACATATCAAACGATTTCCCAAAAGCCAAATCTCCTATAACGTCAAACGCATAGGCATTAAACCAGTGCGTTGCATTAATTGCTTTTCCTCCAAAAGTACTAATCCGCGAAACCAAATCGTCGGCATGTCTCGTGACTCGACCCTCATAGTTGCGTAGAGCTGCGTGTATGTAAGTGACGATTTCAAACGATCATTTCCCAGGAAACTTCCATACCCTTTGCACTAAATCCACGATCCCAAACTTTCCTCCTCTTATCATGCTTTACGCGATCTCGTTCTAAATGCATAGTCGTATGAGGAAGTCCCACAACTTGTATCCCAACCAGAGAATTAGTATTTTCCGAGAAAGACATTCCAGGGAATCAGGATACGAACCATCATACCAAGCACTCTTCGTACATTTCGAACCCGGTCCAATCATTGCTTTCACCGCTTCCGGTTTGATGATCGAAAGTTCATTAGGACCAATTCTTCACGAGACCTTAGTTAGCATGACCCAAAAACCAGAACAAGACCAAACCAACCTCACAATATTCCCATACTTCTTATGTAAAGTATGCACTTGCAGGTAATTATCACTCGTCTCCAGCAATCTCGCCACATGAGTCAATTTCGAACATTTCGCACCAAACGGTCCTGGAAAATGGCGTAGCGGATGGAAAAATACGCGATAGGTAAGGATGCTCCCGGTCAACGAAGTGAAGAACGAAGTGAGAATGAGAGTTGTGAGTTTCAGCGCCGCCACATATGAAGACGTAACATCAAACTTGAGGATCGTAAGGAAGACTACCAGCGGGGAGAAGAGGGTCGTGAGCAGCCATTGGAGCGATTGCATATGATGTTCGCCATGGATGAAATATCCGAGATGTGCTGCCAGACCAGCGAGAGCCGGTAGAAGAATAAAAAGTCCATAGTTGAGGTCTGTCATTATCGTACGATGAGCTACAACGGATCTGCCAAAGGACGTGTAACGGACCGCGGAAATCCCCAGTCTGTGTAACTAACTGTCAGGGCAACTGGTTCCAAAAATAATGAACAATTCTCCTTGCAACTTGCAAAGGCACAGAGAAAAAGCTACGCCAGCTTTTGTGTATTAAGAGAGGGAGAATGAAAGTACATAAAAGTCGAGGAGTGTTTTCGTAGCACTTTTATATGATTATAGTTGTACGAGGGAATTCCGCCCACTTTCAGTGGTATTATCTTGCGCTGAAAGTGGTATCTGGAGCGCACAGCTTACTAGATATAGTAACTACGTGATATTCCACGTAACAGAAGTCTTAGTTACCTTTTAGTGCGCGGATGACCATTCTCAACTTTCATTAGTGTACCCAGTAAGTATGTTGAAGCTTTTGAGATGCACGTCTATTATCGCAACACTGGGGCCACCCACAATAAGATTGGGATGAAGTTCCTATAGGACGGATATGTTTCCATATTAAGTGTTTCGTCTGTAAGTGCATCATATAGCCACTTATTTTCAATACTTTGTTGATGATTGGCTTGGCTGACTCCAGTCTGGTACAACCGAGACCTCATCGACCAATACAGATGTGCTCCCAAAAAGTACACGGAACCTCTCAGTAATGTCACTATTCTGTCTGCTTTCCCATGATCTACCCCAAAAGGACGAACAGTAATCAAAACGTGAAATTTTATGACTCCCTAATGGTATCAAAGTTGTATTATGTTCATAATCTCATAGACATGGTCAAAATTAGGGTCATCTAAACCAACCCCAAAACATATCGTCCTACCTACTTACACATCCTCCCAATTCATCCGATCATCCAGTCGTCCAATCATTATAGTCAAGATGTAATCTCACCATCTACCCCATCGTCCAGACCGGAGCCTGACACAGCACTTGTCTTCCCCTAATATCAATGCCTATGAATCCAGCAAAGCGTACTTTGTGAACTCCGTCTTCACTCTTGATTTTCTCACTCGATTCTTGTCCACCTTGGCTACTAATGCTCATTTTCTTCCCCGCCGCTCCGCCACTACCACCGCTTCCCATCATAGCTGATAACATGCCCTGGCCCTTTCCACTCTTTTCCTTCATCAGCTTTCCATGTCCCTTTTGCTCCTCTTTCGAGCTCTCATCCTTATCATGACTTCCCACACTACTTGAATCAAAACTATTAGTTTCTGCGCCTGGATGTTCCAATGCAGGAATGCCAGCTTCAATTTTCATGTATTGGCGGTTGACCAAATCGTTTGGCATCGGATACATGATTACAACATCTCTGCTTTCCAAGGGAATGTTCGCTGCAATGCTCACTGCTTGTTCCACGATGGTTGTCGCAGCTTCTTCAATCCCACCCGGTACTGGTTCCTGAAGGTAGTTAATCAAGTTGGCCGTCAGGTTGCTGGTGACCATTTTCGAGAATTGTTTCTTGTACTCCTCGCTTTCTGGAGAGTTTAGCAGGTCCTTCAGCCCCTCTAAAGTTGCCAATCTCCACTGAACGATCTTTGCCGTCAGGGCGTCGGATTCTTCTTGATTGTTGATAGCAGGAGAGAATAGACGAATGTTTTGTTCGATGTTTTTCAAACTCAAGCTAAGCTCACTCTCCAAGCCTGGATGGAAGCTGCGGTTGAAGATTTCATCAACAAGAAATCTTGTGATACAAGCTCTACCGACAGCTGTCATCTCTTGTTTTCCTATTGACATCGCATCACGATTGACAGATTGTGCAAGCCATGCAGGTACCGTTCTCCAATCCTTGCGAATGTTGAAAGCAAGATTGGTAATAGCACCATCCAACCGTCCGAAGCGTGATTGATACTCACCATCATCAAGGGATGTGCGAGATTGGGACAGGCGTTGATTTGCTAAAGTGTTCTGTAATTGTTCGACCTGTCCTTGCAATTGCTCCACTGATGCTGTCTTGTCAAAATACAGCCCCTTGACCTTTTTATATTTCTGCACTTGCGGGAATTTAGCAAGGAACCATATCATTGCGGGTTCAACAAAACTTACGTAGCTCTTTGTATGCCTCATTTACATCTCTATCTCCAGGTGCCGGTGGTGGTGTGCTTCGTCCTTGGTCTCCACCACCAGAAGGATTATATTGTTCTCGCTGTAGAGGGCCTCCTCTGTAATTTGGACCTTGATTTTGAGGAGGGAGTGGACTTGTCGCTGGTGGTTGGTTATTGTTGTTACTAGGGCCTGATTGTTGTTGGCGGTATGCCGGAGGATCCCTCCCATCTGATTGTGCCATTTGAGTCTGTAGTGTTTGTTTTGAGTCTGCAGATCGTCGATTTTGTTGTGTTGTAGTGGACTGTGGTGCCATGGAAAGGTGTTGCGACAGAGGACGATTTGTAGATAAGCCTGGAATCGGCCCTTGTATTGAAGTTGTTCGCTCTGGATAATCTGCCCTGTTGGATTGGTGAATACTCGTCGGAGATTGATTATTAGATTGTACCGAACCGGGGCGTTGATCTTCCCTATATATCAAAGAGGAATCGAGTTGCTGTGCAGAGGCGCTGTCTGGAGTGAAGTCCTGCGGAGGGTATTGGCTGTTGGGGGAACTTGGGAAACTATTCAATTGTTGCTGTGAATGAATCTGACTGGGTAATTCGTAATGATATTGCTGAACACTCTCGGGCGACTCGTATTGACTAGCACCTGCAGGAGATTGTTGATAATAAACTGGAGTAGGTGATTGCTGAAATTGTTGATCGGGATCGTTCTGCGACTCTGCCGAATAGAGGGGTGAATCAGAATCGATTTGTACAGCTCGAATTGTGTTTAGAGGTTGTCGTTGCCCATGCACGTTCAAAGAACTCTGAGCGCTTTGTGGTGTGTTTCCTTCAGGACTCGTGATGAGATAAGGATCCAACCCGTCGTCTTCGGGAGTTTCTCGAGGTGATGGCAGATGGGATCTCGAAGCCTGAGCTGCCGGTTGCCAATCTGCTCTTTGATGTTGGTCTACCGAATTTCTTTGTTGACTAGTTCGTATTACAGGAGGGCCCTCGTGTCTTCGAGACAACCTGCGAGCGAGTCCACCAGCGTTATTGCTATACGGGACCTGGGTAGCAATTGGGGGGTACTTTTGTTCAGAGGAGCGGCTTGAATTTGCGCCTCGCATGCGATCAAAAATACTACGTTTCTTGGGTTCTGCCACGGGTGATTGTATATGTGCTGTATGTCTGCGGCCCTGGTTTTGTAACCTTTGAGTATCAAGTACTAAATCATCGACGGATGAGCCAGGTGGAGAAGGGGAAGCGGGGGAAGCTTCGAGCTCTTGTGGATAGATCTGCTGTTGTTGATATTGGTTTGAGACAGACCGGGAAGGTGACGCTCCAGAATTATTATGATATGCAGATGCACGAGACACAGCTTCGGGATTGCGAGGTTCGTAGGGCTGTTCAAAGGGTTGAGATGGTGTGGTGGTAACTGTGGTGGTGGTGGAGGAGGATTGTTGTTGAATTGTTGTGGACCTACCTTCGCCAGAACCAGATGAGAAGGATTGTTGCGAGTGCGAGGCTGAAGGAGTGACCGCCGCTCTTTCTATAGCAGGTTCGTTCAATGCCTGCTTTGAACGATTGCTATGTTTGAACGGGAAGGGCATTTGTATTATGTTCACGAAACACAATCAAACGAAATCAAAAGAATGAATAGGGTCGGGCCTGGCTGTGCTGGTGGGGCAGATTTCCTTCTGCGTGTCAGTATGTATCGTAGTGCACACTTCTTTGATCTGCCAGTTAAATTTCTGACAGCTGCCGGTAAAGTCAAGGAGTGACCCTGAGCGCCTTCAAAGTTCAAACAAGATTGATTACCTGAGCATGAAAAGACGATTCGGAATGTGTTTTTGGTATGGTGCCCAGTTGGAGGATGATACAGAAGTGTTCCCAGAGAATCAATGTGAAGCCCCAAAAGATAATAATAGCATTGATACTCACAAACCGGGTCAACTTGATGTTTAGAGATGCAGCTGGGGTAACTTTGTAAAGCAATTTTGGATCAATTTGGAGCCATTGGGACCAGGGGACGAGGGGATAAGGGGGCGAAGTAAAATACTTTTGGATGAATTCGTTCTAAAGCGTGAAGGTGGACGAATCAATTGGGATTGCGGCGGTTCGACGTTGTTGGAATAAAAGGCTGGGTTTATGCGATGTAACATCTTACTCGACAGTGAACGTTCATTTCCTTGATATTTCTCGGTATCATCTTGATTTCATCGTTTATTGCATCTCGTTGCTTGTCATCTTTTATCAAAGGTTACCTAGGTGAACAGAATTTTGGATTTTGCTATTGCTATTGCTATTGCTATTGGAATTGGAATTGATATAGATATTGACATTCGAGCATGTATGTATGTCCGATATGTATGTACGTATATATGCAGAGGCACGCTCAGCTTACATGTGTATTAGACTGGATGCATCAAGCCAACGTAAAAGATAGATAGATGTGGTTCATGTATTGGATGAAAGTGGATTAACGTAGGAATGAACTATTGATGTTTCTTGAGATGACCAGAAGATCACCACGAGATTTAATCGGAAGAATTACCTATCTATGAAGGATCTAATTGTAATTGACCAGAGCATCAAGAGCATATAATTAGACCAGTTATATGTAACCCTAAAAGAGATCAGTTGGATATAAGAATCTGGGTGTTAACCGCAAGGTAAACGATTCTAATCTCCAAAGCCTATCGTAGATAATAGATAATGATGATATTGTCGATATTGATGTTGATGACGTCTTAGTGGTGCTGGTGGATGTTATAATTAGGCGATGTATCCAATTTCATACCTACTGAACTCAAAGACTGTACAGTGTCTACCGTACACCCTATGTAGGTACCTCCTTATTATTCCTTTACCTTATCTTATGAAATGGTCTTATCACCTGTTTCTGTATTATCAACGGCGATTGCTAAGAAGCTCTGCAGACGTTAGTATCGACCTCTCCCTCGAACCCCTTGGCATTTGACTATTGAAAATTCATGATCAATAAAACGCCCAATCAACAATTGCGACATTTCCTTTCTCGAAAGGGCACAGAAAACTAAGAGAACCCTAAGGTACTGTAGGTATTTTTAGAAATTCTTCCGAAGCACGAGAAGAAAAGCTTGACCGAACACCTGCATTCATTCAGGCGAATTCTTCCATGAATAACGTGGTAAAAAATGGTCGGTTGGCCACAAGCTGGCATTTGATCAAAATGCAACCAAAATTCATTTGAGCCGAGAAGTCCCGGGTTATTGCATAGGAGTAAATGATGTATCAAGAAATCTACACCTGTTCTCCGAGCTATGTAGGCTTGGAAGTCGGACCCTCGTGAGGTTTGGGGGTTGGATATGTAGCTCGAGATGCCCCGGATTGTCATTTCACCCATGAAATTACCGTGCATACAGCGAGAAGATTTGGTGCTACTATTGAAGCTCTGTTCAGTGGCCGGATACGTATTCCTGTGAATGGATGTCCTACTGTCGGACGAATGATATCGTGCTGTCATTCAACACCGGTAACGGCATATGCTGTATCACCGGCGCGCCGCCATGTAAGATAAATCATAATATTCCAGCCTTGATAATTTCCTTCGTCCCAATACCCGTTTCATCAAACGCCTCTGATGACTTATTTGATGACTCAAAAGTACTTTTCAAAGGGACCATTCTAAAAATATACTCGCCTTTCGGATAAATTGTCAACTCGTCGAATAATTGTGTAAAGGAGGAAATATCGGTGAGCTGTAGACTCAAATCTTGATTTCAGGACGTCTGATGTTCGATAATTAGAAAGATTAATCTGCAGCTGCGGCAATAATATTGTTCCCATGATTGATTGAGAAGACGTTGGCTTATCCGGATGACAGCAGAAATGAAGCTATGAGAATAGTCATTGTAACTCTATCGTAGAGTTTGTAGATTTGTAAAGCCAATGTCAAGGAATGAAGGAAACCCCGCGACCCTTTCAGGGTCAGCTCCCGTTATCCGTTACTTCGTTTGGTGGAATGGGGGCCTCAAATCTGCGGTAGATCTATGCCAATCTTGGTTGATTGGAGACCTTTGGATGACAGCATTAAGATCTCCGCATTTTTTCTATTTATTTTGCATAGCCTCAGCGTCGTAGTGCTAATGTACAGCGAAACAAAGTGCATGCTCTACCGGCATCTCATTCGGCGTCTTTCGATATCATGAATGCAGAAAACGCAAAGCCCTCATCTCTCATCACGAAGATAACACATCAAGAGGCAAATTCCTACAGGTAGCTTTGATGGTTGACGAGAGAAGGAAAAGCATCAACCCCTTTTCTTCACTCAACAACCATACCTAGGCACAGCAATCCTCCATGCGGTACATACCAGGTACCTAGGGAGGTAAGCTACCTACTAGGCATGTCATAGGATTCACGAAAGGACCAAAACAGACAGCACTTACTGCCTCTGCCCCGCAAGTCCATTCCATGTTCTACCAGAACGCCCAACGTTTCAAATACACTCAAAAGCTCCTTGATCTTCGTCCAATCTTGAAGATCTCCATCTTAAGATCCAAATGCCAAGATCCATATATTAAAGTTGTTCAGGTACCGGGCGGTCGAGTTGCAAGTTACTTAAGCATATTACAACTTCACAAGGACCATCCTCCTTTCGCTAGACCTCTTTCATTCTCCTAGCCAGGGGTTTAGCCAGGGAAAACACCATGACGGTAGCGGCTAAGGCTACTCTAATATGTGAATACCAATTGATATTTGACGTGAATCCTTTCCTCAACCGCTTTGTTTTTCATCCTTCACTCATGAAATTTTGAAATAACCATGGACAATTAAGACAACAATGCGTATGGCTCATGCCTCTGGTCAATTTGGAACTACCATTGGAGAATGGCGATGGATGAATTATGGAGAACTCATGGATCAAAGTGATGGGAGGATCTCAGAGGCAGGCAGATCATAATGTTCCTTTCCTCTTTCCTCTTTCCGTGTTTCCCACCAGATGCATCTGTATATGCAGCAGTAGTACAAAAGAACTGCAAACCTTAAGGAAGGAAACGAAACAAAACAAATTGGTCCCCTATTATTTCATTACTCAATTTCCATTATTCCTCTACACACCGTCCGGTCCGAGAGATTCTTGTAAAACAAGGAGTTTCCAGCCTTCAACTTTTTCACCGTCCAAATCCCGTTTGTCATATGATTCGATCTTCATTGTACTGCACCATAGTGGACATTTTCACTTTGTACCTGCCTCACTAATTAGATCAGGGGATCTGCAATTTTATTTTTATCCTTTGCTTGTGCTTGTGCTTTGCTTTAGTTTCGGTGCCTACTTTATATTCCTTTGCTTGCAACCGCGATTCGCTTGTGGTCGATTTATATTTCATCATATATCAACCTCACCTTGTCTCCAGATCAACATCCTGTTTTCTCTCATCCACAACTACAATCATCAAAATCCATTCATTCTTTTTAATACCTACCTACCTACCTCTTCCCATACTTCGATCTACAATCAAAGTTTTTTAAATTCTTGATCCTTCAATCCTATTAAAACAGCCAAAACCTTCAAAATGCAATTCTTCAAACTCCTCAGTGTCGCCGTCGGTCTTTTGGCCACAGCAGAAGCTATCTCCGTTCAAAAGCCTCGCATTGCTGCCCGTGGTTCCCAAAAGAAATTCAACTTGAAGCTCAATACCGTCCATGCTGCTGCCCCTGCTTCTAGTTCTGCTATCCAGAACATGATTATTGAGGGCATCGTTACTAGATCTGCTGTTGACAAGAGTAATGGATCCGTCGTTTATGATGATTCCATTTCCTGTATGTTTACTCTTTTGTTTATTTCATTCGTTATCTCCAATAACTGCGCACATCTTATCCTACTTTTTCTATACTCCAATTCAAAAATTCGCCACAAATCATTGAGATTCCCAACTAACAAAAGTAAATAGTCACCTTCATCGACCCCAACAGCAATACTTCTAAAGCCTGCAACGATGATTTCCTAGGCTCACCCCAAACCACTCAATTCCCTACCGGATGGGTTCCATGCAAACAAACAACGGCAATTTGATGGATGATTTCTACTGGCAATTTACTGATTATACATCCCTCACTCAATTCAGTATTGAGTTGATTCATGGTTTCGTTGGTGCCGAGTACGTTATTCCTCGCCCCCCTCCCCCTCCCTCGATTTCCCCACCGAATTCATCAAGTGGGTTCGGGGAATTGAAATGTACATTTCGCAAGATAAATGCTAATATATCATTCCTCACAGCAATGCAGGAAAAGTTCTCAGATCCGCAGATACCCCCATTACCCTCACCTGCGCCGATGTAAACCACGTCGATGGATGTTATTCCAACCAAACCATTTCAATTCCCGTCGCCACCGCTACCGCATAGATGAAATCGAATTCGATAATTTGGAATTCGATCAACCAGATGGGGAGGGGGGGGTTTTTTGCTTCAATGAGTGGCTTTTGTAATGTTTTGAGTGGCGAGAGTGATAAATGATGGAATGGTATTCTAAGTTGTGCCCAAGAATACGATACCCGGGTTCTGGTTAAAAAGACATAAAGTCGCTCAGAAATTTCTCGTAGAAAGTCTGGGCTTGCTCACAATTGATGGAGAGTTGTAGATACTTCTTCGATTCTAATGATGCTTACTGCCGCTTCAAATGGCATGGGCTGGATGTAATCAAGCAAAAGTATAGAAATATGAATAAATACATGGTCAAAACTGTGGTGCTTGCGATTCAATCAATGTGTATACCGTTGATTTGGCTACCTTTTCCAACTCCCCTCATCTATTCCACGAATTCTTGAAAATTTCGTAGATAATATACCTTTGTCGCTGTAATCATTTATGATTACCTAGTACGCGGTGAAGATATAATATGTATTCAGACAGGCGACAGAGGGCACCTAAACTAAAAATGTTGGTCTAGTAATAACAAAAATATATATTCATAAAATCATATTCTCTTATTCTACTTTTTTTCCAAGTCCTCCAAATTCATTACTACATTGCCACACAATTAAAACAATTAATCGCGCAGGCCCGTAGTTACGTTTCCATATACAATGCCATTATCATTAGCCATGTCACTCTCACGCGCCTCCAAGCCCAGATCTTGGCATCCACGAGCACACCCTCATTAAGCCCCGCGGCTCTCACTCGACGGTATCTAGGATTCCCTCTGGGAAAAATGTAATGGTTCCACTTGCTTTCTCCCGCGTCGACAAAGACTTCAGAGAATGGATCGTCGATGACGACGTCGAGTTGGAAGGTTCCTTGGTCGTTCATGGTGTTTACGACGGAGAAGCGATCGGTGAAGAAGGGGTTGCTTTCGGCGAAACCGTGCAGGTTGCGGCGGGAAAGCCAGAAGGACGCGTCGCCTCCGAGGTAGATGCCTCCGGAGATGGATTCCCGGGTGGTGGAGGAGGAGAAGGTGAAGTTGAGGGTTCCTTGCACGGGCATGTTGGTTACGTTGCAGCTGATGTAGATGGCGCCGCTGGAAATGGATGAGTAGTTGGCGATGAGACTTCCGTTTCCGAGATTGTCGTTCGAGGCGAGGGGTTTTGATGCATTGTATAGGGGCGTCATGTCGTATGGGTATTGGATGAGGGCCCAGCCTGTACGCGTCACGTTTGCGAGATGGGTACGGCGGGGTAGAGACATGGCACTGCGCCAGCCTTCGAGTTCTCCGGTTGGGACTTGTTGTGCGTATTCCCAGTTGCTGGCCCACCCTAAGAAAACAGGGTCTTCATCTGCTGGAATCCCGGAGAAGAATTGGCCTGCATAGTTGTCTTTTGCGAAGTCGGTAAGACGGGCTTGCGGATCGAGGGGGGTGAAATGCGTGCCGTTGAATGTACCGGGGAAATATTGGGGTGTGGAACCGCCGAGAGGTGCACCTGGATTGATGGAGATAATAAGGAGATACATGTCTTCATCTCCGGTGCCGTTTGCAACGGGCATGCGGACCAAATTTGGGCATTCGTATTGGCGGCCTAGAAGACCGTGGTGACTGAAATTGGAAGTGGCGGTCCATTCTTTGAGATCAGGGGAGGTGAAGATACCGATTTCAAAGGCCTGAGCATAGGCAACTACCATCACCCAATGGTCCTCGAACCATGTGACTTGGGGATCACGGAATTGAGTAGAATTGGATGGATGGACAGGGTTTTGGGCATATTTCTCGAAAGTGTATCCGCCATCAAAGGAGTAGGCAAGATTTTGGGTCTCAGACTCAGGGGTATTAAGGGTGTAAAGCGCAACTACACCGTTAGTTTGGTTCGGGAAAAACCCAGATGTGTTGTTTGCATCGACCACTGCGCTCCCGCTGAAAATTCCTTCGTCGGCATTTTCGGGATAAAGCGCTATCTTTTGGTTGTCCCAGTGATAGAGATCTTTGGATGTTGCGTGGCCCCAATGTTGGTTTCCGGCCACAGTTTGTGTTGGGTTGTCTAAGATATTATTAGCGACGTCATGGTGCGGGAAAACTCGGAGTCAATCACATTGATAATAGACATGATAAACTCCATCTGCATCTCTGAAAAGTCCATTGGGATCATTCATGAAATTTTGAGGTGGAGAATAATGGATCTGAGGTCGCAATGCTCCAGTATAATCACCCGGCAGAGGTGCATCGGTTGGGACACTGCTATCCGACGTTAAAATTGAGACAGTTGCCGAAGTTGAACTCGTTTCCTGCGCGCTGGATTACAAGCGGCCAGAAGAGTAACGGCTAAAGAAGTAAGGCGAAACATTGTGAGAAGATGTTGGGGATGATTTCTTTCTACTCTAGCTGGATATTTGCCATCTTTTTATAGTCGACTTTGAAAATTAACTAACCCCCCCCGGTCCTCCCGCCGCTAGACCAGATGAACCTACTTTGAATTGCTAATCACCATGATTGATGACAAAATGCTAATTCTCACAGTGTCAAGTGATGAGTTATTATGACATACTCGAGGTTTCCCCAGTCTTGGACTGGTAGCATAGCAATTCATACTCGTGTGATTCCCCACGATATGCAAAATATGACCGAGAAAACCGGCGGCTTAGCTCGAAGTAGAACAGATCAAGAAGTCGGTGGCCCTTTACCCAGGATGTTGATCTTGGAATATGGAGGAAGTGGGAAATCGGGAGAAATGCGGGGATTGCTCACGGCTCCGCAAACTGGGTTTGTTTGAACCTTATCCTCACTTCTTTGGATGGAATGCATTTTCCGACCCCGCCAGCCCGTCGAGTCCCGCCAAATCATGTCGCTTGGAGAAATTGAAGAGCTAATTTCATGCGTGGATCGAACGATGGTTTCCCGCCTTCGACAGAGAATTCCCCAGGGCAGGAAATTGGCAACCATACCGCCATTCAATTAGCAGTGGAAAGTACCGGTTGCTCCGTGTATTATTGCTTGGAAATTGTATATGCAATGTAAAGCAAAGGAAAATACAGTAAGTAGCAACTAATATACTTTGAATTGAATTGTGTTTCTTGAAAACATATATAAGTACACCAACTCCTGTTGTTTTCTTTCTCGTGTTCGATCGATCGTACACAAGATCTAACCATCTCCATCGTTCCATTAGTGCGATGTAGAGAGAATCGGAACGGTTGGAATGTCAATTGTACCTCTCACCTACCCGCCCAGCACCGAGTATATATTATAACACTTATTAGTACGAGTAGTGGATATCTTTGAGTTCATGATGAAAATGTATTTCGTAAGAACATCTGGAAAATGGCATGTTCGATGTTCGGGAAGGTCGGTACCTGTTACTATGAGCGGCCTCTTAGAAGGCTAAAAAGAACGAACTGCCGGTGCTTAATAATATTAGCTAGGTATGGTACTCTTAAGACTCTTAAGACTCTTAATAACGCTCTTAACTCTTAGTAGGTACTCTCGTTACTCTCATTACTCTGAACGGATTGAATGGAATTCGTCTGGTTCAGTACAGTATTCCGGTACATCCGTTCGTCACATAATGACTACTATCCAGTATTCAATAATTTGAGTTATGTTTTGACATCCATCTCCCCCCGATCCATGTGAATCTTATTGTTCATGCGAGACAAGCCATCTTTTCGTGAATGTGTTATCAAAATACATTGATGATACATATGAACCTCCGTAGTCCTTTACGCGCTCAATGCAATCGTCACCAATGAATTTCTCCCAGTGTTGCATGCAGGAAACCCCTGACTCGAAAATGACCAGTCGGAGGAATACCATTCGCGTTTCCAGGTACCCTCTCCTCATAACAAAGCCCAAGAGAGCAAGACGTGTGAAACCACATATTGCCATATTGAGGCGTTGTTTGTTTTGGTTTGCTTTGCTTCATCCCATTGTAAGGAGTATTTGACTCTAAGATGGAGTAGTCGCGATGGTAAATGAGAGGAAGCGATAAAGGTCGCGTTGTTCCATTCAATTGTAGGGGCATTCGGTACCTTGGGAAATGTGATGGGGAAATCTCTCCTCTCCTCTCCTCTATTCACTTCTACTTTGCTCTACATTCGTTCTTGTAAACTTAACAACATAGCAATTTTTGAACTCACGACCTAGAACAGTTCGCCCATTATTATTCTTACTGTTTTCTGCATTCTCCATGGGAAATCTTCATCCCAAGGGTCATTCACTTCAATCGTTCGCATTAATCCCAACAGCAGGTGGTCTGCAAACAGCTACCAAAAGCAGCATTCAGAGCATTCAGTCATTACGGAAGCCGGAACATTCGCGTAGGGTGTCGCCGATAAGGGAATAGCGTTACATCTCCCGCCTCGACTCCAAAATATTATCAACTCCCCATCTATCAACAACCACAACCCTCGACGATCTACATCTGTAGAGATCAGTCAACAGCATACAATTATTGAAGAGGATTTTTTTCAAGAGCGAAATCGGTGACTTTGCGATTAGCCAAGCACGTGTGGACGGCGGCAAAGCGAGCCTACAATTGATTGCGGACCTTTCCTAGTACAACAATAGATGGGTGGCAGGGAAACGAACCACCGGAGACCAAAACATTGATACGAAATTTATTACCACAACGACGCGACGATCGCATTGCGCATAACGACAATACCATTCAACCCTGGACTTAGATTGATCTCGAAAATTGCAGCAGCTTTTTATGGGCAATAGTCTCTAGTTACATTATTTGGAAGACTTCCCAGCAGCTCCTTCAACCAATAACTGCTTGCTTTTTCTTCCAAGGCAATAATCACCATGGGGATTAACGGCGACCCAGGTTATAGCTCCTCCAAATCTCATGCGAATCTCAAAAAGACTCAACATTCTTTAAATACCCCGCCAATATCCACACCACCCCGCTCGTCGACCCCTCCTACCACAACAAGCAAGAGAATGACGGAACGGAAACCACAGGGAGAGAACGTAAACTCGTCAAGAAATACAAGCAGAACATATCGCTCCAATATTGATGCGGTCGATTCGAATGCGCTGAGCAAAGCCCTCATGAGAGAGTTCGAGGATTCCGGCGGTAGGCATCGTGATATCACACCTGGAGGAAGCCCAAGCAGAAAGCGACAACGAGTATATGGCGACAGGTAAGAGATATGGCTTTTTTCTTGCGGCTTTGTGTTTGCGAAAATTTGGAAACATGAAAAGTCCAAAATGATTGTTCTAGACAGGTTTTGATCTTTGTTGGTTTGACCTTCAAAAGTTGCTCCTCCGAAGAATGAGAACTCTCCAAGGTCAAAACTAAATATGCGCATGTTGCAAGACCGGAAATTGCTTTATCAGACAGCGTACTGACATCTCATGTGTAGATTTATTCCAAATCGGGAAGGGCAAGATTTACAAGCCAGCTTCAGTTTACTGCATGATGAGGGGTCTCCAGCGACACCTTCTAAACAAAAGAAGCGTACCCCACATGGTGAACTACACTTTCAAAGGAGTAGGTCAACAGTGAATATCCCAAACCAGCCGTTAGCTAATCTTGAACCAGCCGAGGAAGCCAATAGGACATTCTCTACCTTGCTTAGGTCCGAGCTCTTTGATACCACAATCCCACAACCCACACCTACCAGTTTATCACCTGAATCACATACAACTACTATCAATGATCCTACTAGATCCCACACTCCACCTCACATTTCACCTGCAGTCTCATCACTACCTGCATCACTTACTCCTTCTACTCCACACAAGAACCTCTTTACGTATATGTCACCGCGGCATCATACTAATATCGCTGGTCATCCCACTCCATCGCGGACACCTCAGAGTAGACATGGAATCAATCTGGATGTTAGATCGGAGCTCTACAGTGTCTCTCCTGTACGATTCAATAGCCAACAGATGCTAATGAGTCCACGCAAGCAACCTCGAGTTGTGAGCAAAGTGCCATACAAGGTGTTAGATGCTCCTGATTTAGCCGATGATTTCTACCTCAACCTTGTGGATTGGGGCAGCAGCAATGTTCTTGGAGTAGGACTTGGATCTTGTGTATATATGTGGAACTCACAGACTGGAAGAGTCAACAAGCTTTGCGAGCTAAACGATGATACTGTCACAAGTGTCTCGTGGATTCAACGTGGCTCTCATATTGCCATTGGTACCGGGAAAGGATTTGTCCAGATTTGGGATGCAGAACGTGTACGACGTTTAAGAACAATGACGGGTCATACAGCTCGAGTGGGTTCCCTTGCTTGGAACGATCACATCCTCACTTCTGGTTCCAGAGATCGTCTCATTTACCACAGAGATGTACGAGCCCCAGATCAATGGTTGAGGAAACTGGTGGGACATAAGCAAGAAGTTTGCGGTCTTCGTTGGAATTGCGATGATCAACAACTCGCATCAGGTGGCAACGATAACAAACTTATGGTTTGGGACAAGCTATCTGATACTCCAACTTACAAATTCAGTGATCATACGGCTGCTGTCAAAGCTATTGCTTGGTCTCCTCATCAGAGTGGTCTTCTTGCATCTGGAGGTGGTACCGCAGATCGCCGTATTATATTCTATGATACTAAGCGTGGTATCAAACTCAATGAAGTTGATACTGGCTCTCAAGTATGCAATCTTGCATGGTCAAAGAACTCGAATGAGATCGTATCTACCCATGGTTATTCACAAAACCAAATTGTAGTGTGGAAATATCCAAGCATGCAACAGGTCGTTAGTCTTACAGGTCATACATACAGAGTATTGTACCTGGCAATGAGTCCTGATGGTAGAGTTGTGGTAACAGGTGCAGGCGATGAGACTTTGAGGTTCTGGAATGTGTTCGGTAGAAAGCCAGGGCAAAAAGATGACTGCGATGCGGGTGGAGGGAGACTTGCGGATTGGGGTATCATTAGATAATCTCTGATGACCGTTTGCTACATTTACGATATTTGATGGAAAATCGGGGTACGGATGGGGGGCACGGTGGTTCGGTGGGAAAAATTCAGCGAAGACAATGGTGGGATGGTGTTCGATTTTTTGCATTAGTGGCGTTTCGGCACAGCGGGTGATATCTATCTCATCTGGCATGATGGCTTAGTTGGCATGGTATTGCTCGGCATGCAATGGCTGGGATTGGGTTATTTAACATGATATGGGAGCTGGGAGCGAGCTTTACGAACAGGTGCCAAGGAGTTGTTATATGCCTATGTGCATTGCTTACTTTTTGTGATATTATTTTAATCTTTCAAGGGGAAGTAAGATGGTGGTAGATGATGCCATATTTGTTCATCTCTTGGAGAAGACAACAAAAAGTAAATCAACTGGCTGGAAGATGGCTAGTTTTAGCTAGACGATATCATCGTATGTAATAATATGATGATTCAGGAGATTCAATCCTTGCCAATACTTTGGGACCATGACTAGAGGAAGATTATATATACACGTAACTCGAGGTTCATGGCAGGAGGAGGATCTATGCACCATGATTTAAAGAAAATATGTGCGGGAGATAGAGCAACATTGGGTTAACTGATAGCGGTTACTAATAGATTTAACCATTCTAGATATTCATTTATTATAGGGGTTTCTCCGATGAAAGACGCTATAATCTCGCTTCATGAAATGCACCCTAAAGATGAACATTTTCACATCAGATGGCATACACACTTCATTCATGAATGGGATGAAATAAATTATTGCTCAGTTTTAGGAAACACTCTGCTTATCTATCTATATTGGGGCAGAAAAACTTCCTGGATTTTCTACAAGTGACAGTTTTACGACAACTGGCAAAATATATCCTGAGGCAGTTTCTCACAAGTTTGCTTTTGTCAAAGTCAGGTGACAAAAATTGCAATCAGACTGCCATTGTCACTTTCATAACAGTGTTTTACACCATATTTCTGCCAAAGATCTATCAAGTGTAAAGGAAGTACCTAGAATTGAAGAAGGTAATCAGAGTGAATATTAAAGGTGGAGACTCGTTTACAGACAAGTGGATGCTCAAGAGAGTAAGAAAGCCGGTTAAATTTGGTTCCTGCTTCGTGCCCAACTCCTTGCGCCTTCCCTGAACCTTCTACAACGGCATCATAACAACAATCCAAAATTTCAAATTTCAACCCAATATGAACGATCGGGTTGATCGCTTCAGAGCCTTGACCGGCCAACAAGAAGTTTACGACAATCCTGATATGGAGGAAACGCAAACGGAGAGCGAAGAAGCCTTCGTGCTTCCGGAGGGATTCACAATTAAATCTCACAATATTTACGAGGGTACCTCCGATGAAGAAGATTCTCCGCCCCAATCAAACGCTGGGAAATCGAAGCAACGTAGCAATGTTCCTGAGCAGCACCAAAATGAGGATCTTCAATTTGACGACGGGGAAAACATCACGGCCGGAATGCGAGCGGGTATGAACCAACATCACTATGGGTCATCGGCGCCACTGCTTTGTATGTCAAAATGTTTTACTCCGTGTAAAACATACTAATTTTGAGGTGTAGATCCTGAACTGGGTCCTAATGACTTCCAGGAGTACAAGAAACTAGACTATGGTCAGCTTGCTCAAGAGGGAGAGAGCTTTTGTCCCTGGAAGACCGTATCGCAGTATGCATACAGATATGTTGGCCATGCAAATAGACCAAGGGTAAGGCACTCAAGCACTATCCCTCCACCTGTATCTATCTCTTCATATCTACTGCGGGGTCGATCGTCGATCGTCCTACTTGAGTAGATCATTCACTACATACATAGATGGACTTCTTCCACCCACCCGCTTCTCCCATCTTACAAATCCTCTTCTATATTAACAAATCTGCAGGTCACGGAGCAGTTCTTCTACGGAGGTAAATGCTATTTGCAAACTTGGGATTTGTAAGTCTTATCTATTTCTCGACTCTGACTTCTTTGCCCTTGAGAAGCTTTCCCTCTCGTTTTTCTAACACTAGACAGCTTCTACCTATATAGATTGAGAGAAGATCCGAATCAGAGCCCGATAATCCTTGTCCCTACTAAGCAAGTCGAGTATTTTCTGGCTGTTATCAACAGATCACTTGGTACAAATCTTACTATTCCTTCTGGATCAGCAGGCGCATTTGACGCAGTCTTTAGCAACGACGGTACTCCTTATCCCAGATATCTTGGGCGAGTACTCAACAAAAACATGGCGGATGAGTTGAGAGAAAACGTCCCACCTCGATACTACAAACTTGATGGCGAACCCCCTATCACAAAGCCACTTGTAGATACATCACTTGCAGCCTTTAGAGCCAAGATTGAAGCTCTGAATCTAACCGCAAAGAACAAAAAAGCTGCTAACAAGGAGAAGCAACGAGTCGAGCGAGTTGCCAAACAAAAGGCTTGGAAGAATTCTACCAAGCGTGTTCAGCGTTATCTAGGGTTGCGCAAACGATCAGATAATGGCACACCAACTAACTCCGCAGATAACGACACCTTCTATGATCCGGAGAAACCTACAAAGTTTATGATGGAAGATGCAGTCGTTTTTGTCTGCATAGATGTTGAAGCTTATGAAATGAACAACAACATCATTACAGAAATTGGTATTGCTACTCTAGACGTTCTAGACATTGCTAATATGGAACCGGGTGAACTCGGCGAGAACTGGAGAAAAGCTATTCATGCAAGACATTTCCGTATCAAGGAGAACATGCATCTCAATAACACAAAACATGTTCAGGGATGTGCTGGTAGTTTTGAATTTGGGTATGTTCTTTCTTCCGTTCAAAATTCCCGTGACCTTCTAGTTCATATGATATTGCGCTTTTCCTCACGGACTTCGATGGTCTACGTCGAAGTTTGATAACAATGACTTATCCACCATCATCAAAATGAAATGAGTCATTCAAACCATTTTGCACGGTTGGATGCAATTTGAATCTTAGATCCAGTCTACCACTACGGACTACAGGACACCTTGCTTTCCTCCTTTGCCGCTTGCACTTGAATTACTACTGACACTTATTTCCCAACAGCACGAGCGAGATTATCTGTAGAGATGATGCACCCCGCGTAGTTGGTAGCTGTTTCAAATATCCCTTCTCCGACCCTTCTCCATCTCCCGATCTTGCCGATCAGAAACGTAACATCATCCTTGTTGGTCACGACGTTGATGCGGATATTCGCTTCCTTCGACAAATCGGCTATGAAATTAATAATCTTAAACTACATGAAGGTTGCGATACCACTCTCATGTGGCGAGCTTTAAAGCGGGAAGTTAACCCAAGAAGTTTATCTGCTATACTTGCGGAGATTGGTATTGCGGCCTGGAATTTACATAATGCGGGTAATGATGCTGTGTATACTTTGCAAGCTATGTTGGGAATCGCTTGTAAACATTTGGTGGATAGGAAGATTGAGAGAAAGGAGAAAGACAAGTTGAAGAAGGATAGAATCTCTGAGTATGTCTGCCTGTCATCTTAACCATCTTTCCTCCCGCTCTTATGCCCTGAGTTTCGCCAAATATGCTAATTTATCAATCAGAGCCGTGAAAGAAGCAGTAGAATTAGCTTACGAGCGCGAAGAAGGTTGGTCTTCTGATGGTAGCGACGGTGGTGAACGTATTACATCCGAGCAAGCAAACGCCAAGAAAGCAGCTGATGCTGCTAATAAGGCTGCGAGTAGAAGACCAAAGGTAACAGATGTGAATGAATTGTGGCCCAATGGTTTCAATTCAGGTACTACTGCTGCTACCTCTTGGGTCGGTGTTGCTCAAGGCCAAACCCAAGGTTCTCAGGGAGGATGGGGAACCCCTCCGGCTACTCCAACAAGGAAGGGAAAATCTAAGACGGACTCTGCTTCTGCTTCTGCTTCTGCTTCTGCACCTGAGCCAGCACTTGTACCTGCAGAGCAATTTGGATACAAAAGTCTAGGTCCCAATTTCAAGTCATCAGCTAGCACCAGTAGTGGTTCGAATGCCGATAGAAAGGGCAATCTCGAGGATCAAGCAACATCTCAACTCCGTACAGGTGGTGACTGGGGTCGAGAATGGACAACTCGGAACACAACGGCTTCTGCTGCACCAGCTCCAATTGCCCAAACATCAACCTCTACTCCCATTTTCACCGATCAGCCTTCCACATCTACACCTCTCGACCCCGAAATGACAGGTCTCGAACAGAAAATGCAAGATGCTACTCTCGCCGAACTCCAAGAACAAGGTAAAATACCCATGGATCTCTCGGCAAATGCATCGCTCCAACTCCTGGAACAGCAGAAAGAAGATGCAAAGGGTACTGACGAAGGTCCGTGGCCTCAGCAGAGAGCACGTAGGGTTAAGTGGTAGATGTGATTTTTTTTCTCCCACCTAGCTTGGAATGTGGGATTATAAGGTTGGAGCAGAGTCCAAGATATATATCTCGTCTTCTGTTCTTCGGTCGATCAAATCACTCGTGAGGAGGCTTACGAATGCGCGGAGATGCATATCTCGTTTTATTTTTCTTTGAGCACTGGATCAGATCTCCTTAGTTATGGGCGAAGGTACAGCGAAGAACTTTGCATTGAAATTGCGTTGGGATTCTTCATTTTCGTTTTCTCTTTTTTCTCGATGAGCTATGCATGGCTTCTTTACATCAAACAGTAGATATATCGAAGAATACAGCGGTGCGAGGACTACATAGCGTAGCAAGGATTAGTTGCATTACATACCTAGGTATATCAATAAGAACGTTCTACATTTGCTTTCACATTCATCATGACCAAAATAGATAACAAGCCAATTATCTGAGCGTATAAAATTCCATCTCCCTACTTCAGCAAGAAAATGAACTTATCCTTATATTCTCATGTAACTTAGGAGAGGAGATTTCAGATTGTGATATCAATCCATTGATAATATACATTGAAACGCCGCCCAACCCATGCATGCATCTATCCGTCAATTCATCATGAATCATAGAATTCATGAACAAAACAGCCTCGCCACCACGCTGCCAACATGAAATGTAAAAGCCATTCGCTATAATACCATTTATGGAGAGTTTTGAAGGAGGATTCGGGAATGTGTGAAATCGAAGGGTTGAGAGAAATTGATGTACAGGGAAAGAAAGTCGAGGTTGGAGTTCATCAGATTGCGGTCGTCGCTCGCTTTGTTGGTTCGAGAAGAGATGTGCAAAGTAGAGGAGTTGAAATTGGATATGAGTTATTGTGTATCGCAAGCTGATGTCGTAGCAGTAATCGCAGGAGCGGAGACATTCGATAGGAACAGAACCGGATCATGCCAAATCGCAAGAGAATGTGCGAAAAGCCACAGGAATAGTCAATCTAGCAGGGCTGAAATCGTGTGTGCGCGAATAATTGAAGTGTGCGGAAGTCGAGAAAAGCGAATCGCCAACTTGATCCAGGGAAAATCCATCCAAAACCCCCCAAGAAAATTGTATGCGGAAGTAAGAAAGATCACCCGTTCTTCTCCAAAAACTCCTTTGCTTCGTTCACTTTGGTGGCTAGATATGGTGAACCGCCTCGATCCGGATGGTTCAACATCATGAGGGTGCGGTGATTCTTTCGTATGCGCTCTTTGGTAAGTTGTCGTTCGCTGCGGGGAGAAAATAGAATTAGTTTATGCGGTGGATTGGGAATGGAGAGGGGTAGATTAAACGCACCTGAGTTGTAAAATGAGTGCAGCTTCTCTGCGATTCATCTTAGGCTCGAATCCACCTTTATAAAAAGCTTTTCCAAGTGCGCCGACGGCTTCTCCTCGTGATTTTCTGAACGCTACGAGACCTGCGCGGCCCTGGGAACAATTAGAATTGAAATTCATTGCGCTAGACATGGGAATGAGAACTTACTAGAAACGCCGCTGCAGCAACCCCCGCAGTGATTGTAAGAATCGACGCCATTTTTTCTTAGACTCTGGCTCTGGAGATGGTGGTGGTGCGTCTGTGAGAGAGAGGGTCGTGGTTCTTTGATATCTTCCCAATAACCTATAGACTTTTGTACTAAGTGTAACTAGAATTCTAGTTCATGTGGGCTCGGGCCGACCATTGTTCCTGGAGGCAATTCGGCTATCTACCAATGGATGCTTGTTGATGGAAAGTCTGATTATTAACTTACCTGGTTTATTGTGGGAAGCTAACTGTTGTGTCATGTGATAGGTTGCTGATGGATATCTTCATCCTGACTTTGTCAAAGACATAAACAAGATTGAACAATAAGCTATTCTCTCTCATCTGCCCTTATTGAGATGAGATGAGATTCTCTAGAAAAATTGAAACATTTTCGTTCACTCATGATCTCTGAATAATGAATATACCAAGTATCACTGCATTTCTTTCACTAGGCACTAATGTCTAAATGTATAGACTTTAATCTGTTCAAATTTGGATTTAATAGGGCATATACGCATGTCTAACGACTATTAAGTACCTATTTAGGTAGTGGTAACTTTGGTTTCGTTGAAGATCTAAGCATTCTAGGGGTTCTCGTCTGATATCTACGAACTTACGTTCCAAATATCCTGTATCACAGTTGTAAAATGAGGAGAGTGAGCATTGAAGATATTGTCACCAAATGATCTCCTTGTAGATACTGTGATATGTTTTTGCAAAACAATAATTCTGTACGGTTCTTTTGTTGTGAACGAGGCAATGATTCGATGTGATTTGAGTGGATTGACGGGCATTCTCTGTTTCTCGTAATTCGCAAAAGTTGCATGTTCGAGCCATTAAGCTATCTAAATTTAACATCAAACGAGACTCTAAAATTCACAATTTCTGGAAATGGAAACCCTGCCATCCGAAAAGCAGTTGAGATCCAGAGCATCCTGAACATTTTTCTCGCTTCTTAGAGTTCCCCTCTCTGATGCATCGCTCTAGTGCCTATCTTCTGACATATCGGCTAACAATATTCCCCCCTATCTCAAATTGTAGATTGAGTCTGGTCATTGCGATTGGCTTGACTGCTGTCTACAATCATGAACGTCCACTTACATTCATATCCAGAAACATTCCTGCTCTGAGCAGGCGCTCACTTCATGACGCATGTAGTAATGACTATCTTAGACTTCCCCTCTGAATGCAAAACTAGTGAGTTGGAGATACATAGTCCCCTGAAGTAGTTACAGACTTGCAAGCTTCTAAGCAGAGCCTTGTGCTGTTGATAATTCCGAGTAGCAAGTTTTTTGCCGGCCAATCTAACTTTTTTCCCGACCTCGTTGTCTCCTGGATCTGGACTTCCGATAAACAGCGAATACTTGATCAATTATCTTCGTGTTTTTTCTTCGGTGACATTATATGGCTATTATAGTCGTAATGCAGGGTTCCGGAATACAAAGTTCTGAGCATTCTAAACCATATCTCTCTGTCTCCCCAAACCTAAACTTCCCAAATTTTACCTTTGTGCTTCCTCACTCGGCTAGCTATTCGTTAACTCAGTTGAGTTGTAATAATTTCAATACTCGACAAGTTGTTGTACCAAGTCTCATTCACCAACGACTTTTGGCGTCTTCTGCTATCCAATGTATCCATCTTGAAGTTTCTGGTAATATCATCCTCGATTCTGAGCACATTCCACACATTGCAACTCAAGATATGATCTGGCAGAATAAGGCTCTTCTTTCTTCACCTACACAGATTGTATGATCGATGATCATCTCACTATCATGTACTCTCTTTAGATGATGCTAGGAAGTGCTAGAATGATCACCATCTCATCAATCATTTCTAATTCCCCCTCAACTCATTTTTCTCGCCCTCATTAAACCTGCCATTACATGCTTTGACAGCATTAATCCGCAACCTAGAGGGCATCAAGCATCAGTTGGGAAGAATACGCGTGCCACTGCACATTGATTTGCTGTCCTTCAAACCCACGATTTTTGAAATTTACATCTCCTTCAATGTAGACTTGTGTAGTTATACTCAAGGCCAACTTTCTTACTGGCTTCCTCGTTCAACACTTTCACAAAGCTTATACAGATAAGTTGGTAGAAATTTTTGATGATAACACTAATGGTTCGACAATGATAGTTACAATCATTGAGATTGTAATCGGACTCATCCCGCATACTTTTGTTTGAAGCGGCGATTGACACAACACAGGACACAGGTGCACCGGCTGTCGCTGGCAATACCCTCTTTCGCATCTGCCCAATAATGCCTTCATCTTCGCTGCTTCGACGAAGTCACCCCTATCTTTGGCAGCTCTGTCTATCATCATTGCAATGGTACTTGCTATCCACTGCTTCGGGTAAATATCCGCCTTGTCGCCATCCTTTTGGACACGAGTGCAGATACACTCCCATGCGTAGAAATCTATTCATCTCAAGATTGAGATGCAAATACATGTGAGATCCAATGAACAAGCCCGATAAGTAATTCATTGAAACAGAACAATTTTTGACAACAGTATCGCTTCCAGATAGGGGCAAAGGGTCTAACCAAAGATGCCACGTTTATAGAAGTTGCCAGTGCTGGTGTCTAATATTTCAAAGGGGGTAAAATTGATTTACTGTCTCCGTCGATGATACTTATTAGAAGATCTCTGAGCATTGAGGAGTTTCACAAGTATAGAGCAAATATCGACTAGAATATTATTTGATCTCGATCGATGTCTTCGGGGGTAGGAAATTCAATGTGCGTGCAATACAGCTATGTATTTAATCTTCATACCCATTCATCTCTATTCTCGGTGCCATATTTTTCGAAGAAAAGTCCCAAGTCTAACTATGCAAACATATCATGCTTCACCAATCTGTACCAGGGGAAGAGGAGGAAGCATTGTGTAAATGAGGAATCAGAGCCCTAGCTGTTCATCATTCACAACGGTACGCTATCTATATATATAGGGGATTGAACTTAAAAGATGTACCATATCTCGGAAGAATACACTTGCCACTCATGATATGTTTGTGTGAGAAAGTAGCTTTGCTGTGTCGTCAGTTGCCGACCATAGGAGGAATGAAAAGAGCTCGTCAAATCATCTATGGCCGGGAGACTCTATAATACAAAAGAACGAAATCAAAGCGATAAGACTACAGTCGAATATATCAAATAGACCTACAATACACCTCTATCTAATTCTTTCTCTCTGTTCGTACATTATACATTGTATTTACTTTCTTTTCTTCCTCCTTGAGCGAGTTTGCCCCTGAGTCGCGAATATAGAAAAAAAACACTGACTCGAAAACGGAAGGAAGAGAGAAATAGTGGTTGTTGATGATATATAGACCAGTAGTAGTATGGGTTAGTTCTTTTCTTATGTTTACATTACTGGGAGTGGGGCGTCGGTGATGTCACATGAATTGGCACGAACCAAAGGAAATAAAAACGGAGGAATAAACTACACAAACATCGATGAGTGGGATTCTTAACAGGAATATTAAATTCGCAAAGCTGAGTGAGCGGGGCCAATTGCTCTGGCAAAATTCGTGATATTTGATTACATATCTTTAAATCCGTGGTCTAGATAGAGAGTGTCTAAAAACCTCCAGCTGTCTAACAATTGAAATTAATTTGCTCTGTTTGATTAATCAGCGTTATCGTCTTTAACGCTCTTTTTGCTCTCACTTAGCCAGACAACAAAGTTCAAACATTAGTAAATATCAATATCAAACACTCCTCATCCTTCTTAAAAGACCAGGTCCTCCACATCCCGACCCTCTTAATTCAACCTGAATTCAACAATCAGCCACTCAAACCACTTCAGAGACAACCTCAAAATGGCAACCTCGACTCTTCTTCTTCTCTTCAAATCAATATCGATCATCTTCGGCGTTTCCACAGTAATCACAGGAATACAAGCACTACTAAATCCCATCGCCTTCAGCAAGACATTTGGAATCACCGTGCCAAAAGAGAAAGATACACCCATCCTAAGAAGTTATATAACCCTGATGGCAACGCGACAATTGGCGACGGGAACTTCGATACTATTGTTGGCGAGAAGTGGACATTATATATCGATTGCATATATCCTGATGGTGGCGGGAATTATCGTCGCGGGAACGGATGGAGTGTTCATTGCGAAAAATGGAAGCGTGAAAACGGGTATCGTACATGCTGGTCCGGGATTCGTTATTGCTGTTGTTGCTGCTGCTACTATCTGGTTAGAGGGATAGAATTATATGTATGGTTTCAGAATATAGATTGCTGCAAGACTGTATGTACTATGTGCTTGTCTGACCAATTACAGATCAGCTCACTTTGTGACAAATTTGAAGTTGCTTTCTGAGCAGAAGATAGTGATTGTTCACATTTGATTTTAATTGCTAGGATCTCTCATTTGCATTCACATTGTCTTTTATTCATTAGTTTAGAATTTGGTCATTCTTCTCCATTTCCGCCTCCACGTCGAATGCCAATTCTTCAATCACCCAAATGGATACTACCAATCCACACCCATCCCTCCAGATCACCCTCACCAGCAATGATAAGAGTACACAAAAAATATACATTAGAACCTGTGAAAAACTGTAGGACAACAAAAGGAATTTATTAAGAATTATTGGAGGGGAAAATGGGCGATGAACTCCCTGCTGCCGCTGCTGTTTTCTGGATTGTCGCTGCTGGGAAGTAAGACATTCATTTTGAAGAAGAGAAGCCTTACAAGTTAGTGTTAGCCGCATATTCAACAGAAGGGGAGGGAGAGAAAGTGTTCTGACTAGCCAAAGAAGTAGAACTGTCCTAGCAATAGGCAAAATCTCATAAAGTGTCCTGAGAAGTCCCTGGGATATTGCAAGAAACTTATGATACTTAGAGGATATGAGAGAAAGTATCTGGTATGTTTAGAAGTGTTCAGGGTACTCCGTGTAGAGCACGTGTATCATAATAGTGCGATATTAGAGGGTGTCCTGTACGAAAAACAGAGGTTCATAGATAGTTTGCAGATGACACAGCACTTAAGAAGCATTGTTCCAATCATTTAGCAACTCACTAACCCCAAGTTATAGAAACTTAACCAAAGTATGTCCTCGAAAAGCTACCAAATCTCGTCAAGGAAATAAACAAATCAACGAATAGAAGAATGCCAGCTATAGTACATCTACTATGCAAACATCTACATATATGTAGTATGTCACATCTTCTCTCCCGAGTACTGCCAAAACTGCAGCAACCTTACCGAAAGATTGCAACTCAAGTAATCAAGAAACCAATACATGATTAGAAACACCAAGAGGATAAATCTGTCAAGGTTTGAAATAAGCACCAAGAGCTTTCACAGAATGTGCTAAAGCGCAAGACAGTCAGAGAGAAGGTTACAAAACAAGCGAAGCCCATACCACCTGTCAGAATTCGACCCGTCCGTGTATCATCACCTCATCCCGCCACTTATCTGCGACTGAATAAGACACGATTGCACTGTTTGCCTGTGAAGATACATAAACTACGAGATGCATCTACACAAGTAACACCACCACCTAAGCTTCTAAGAGCACTGTCATTCCACCTGCGACCTCCAAACTGAAGCCAATCTCTTCCATTCGTACTGATGGTCCGCATCGGTCTGTCAACATTATGGCCCCACCTCCTCAAGTAATTCGTACTACTAGAGCGACGAGGCTACGACAGGATCATCAGTTGCGGACACGACACAATATCTCCAATCGTGATCTATTGCTGAAAGCCGTTGTATCGCGTCGTGTCCTTAGAGCGCGTGAGAATGAGACGGCCATGCTACAATCTTCTAATGATAAGGTAAATGTAGGAACTGTACACAAAATACTATCAAGAAGCCAAGGGTTCATTGTCAGCGTATGATATGATTACAATCCATGGTATACCTGAAACTCAAGCACAAGATGGAGAAGAACTAGTACTACCGGGAGTCAAAGGGCGGGAACCCCTCTGATACTAAGAGCATACAGCATCCAATTCAATTGCTGAGTATGTGTCTTCACAACTGACCTCCAATCTACGTGACGATCATGGTTCGTAGATCATCACAATTCTGATACGTCAAACGATACGAGCAGATAGAACAAGTTCTAGATTTCGACGATCCTAACCTCACTCGGGGCCCTCTGCTGCATCCTCAAGGAGTTACATAAACAAACTTCTAGACTTTTGGTTCTTTAAATATCGTAGCTGTGACTTATCCACATCGGAATCGGAGAATTCCAGAGAACAGATAGATACATCGTAGATGTTTTCCTTAATTTCCGGCCCGATCGTTTGTAGATTGTCTCTCTTCTCGGAACGAGAGGAGTTAATCAAAATCTAGACCTCTAGAACAATTTCGATTCGAGGAAACATTTCTCTTTAAAGGAGAATCGTCGTTTCTGTGACAATGATATCGTGTCTCCTTTTGTTTTGTTGCGATCCAAAACATCCACAGGGGAAAAGATCCCCTGTCCCCCCACAATTTGCAAAGAAAAAGAAGGTTCTGGATTCAAGTCACTTGACTTCTAGATTATCCACAGGCTCCAGCAGGACAGGGAATTTGGTACACGGAACTAGGTATACATGCTTTTCAATATTCAATATCAAATCAAGTAATCGATATTTCGAATTAAACGTCGAATAAATATATTTATAATTTTTACATCTAATATACATTTTGTTGTATTCATGTGTTGAGTAAAGCTTGATGTATTATAATGCATCGAGATATAAGTGTTTTCAAGAGATGGGCTTTGGCGTTCACCAATGTGCATAAAATGTGGATAGTCAATTGCCTTTTTCATGCGTGAAAATGCTTCAGAAAAAAAGCAATTATCTCGTACAGGAACAATACATCTAGGGAATGCGTGCCGGATTGAATCCTAAGGGGTTCTCGGCTTAACAGTGTGAAAGGGCGTATTTAGCGTGAAAAGAGTTTGGTGTGAAGGCATTCGAACGGATAGAACGGGATAAATCGACGAGCGTTACTTTGACATTGGATTGAGGTTCTGGCATTCGAGGCATCGATGTTTTGATGTTTTGATGTATGCAAAAATCGCATCATAAATGGTCCAGAACTCTTGGTCTCAGAGTCATTGCGGCGTCTGACTGAAAATGATGATGGAGGCTGGAGCAGAGCTTCCGAATTTTCTGATAGCATGTAACTATTCCCAATGAAGAATACTCGAAACTTCGGAGGATATACCGAGATAGTGGTTGACATGTGGAGCAGTTAATATCGAGCTGCGATGCAAAGAAAGTTATCGAAGGTCAAGGTTAACTAGAAGAAACTTCAAGATCAAGGTAGCTTTGAAAGGGTTCCCGAGGAAGATTTTAAAATTTATACCTACCTAGTGACTACTGGAAGTCAAAGCAACCAGTTAATAGTCGGGCGTCGAGAGGAATTAAGACGGAGATAGCTTTGAGGTTTACCAACTCTGAAAGGTATGACGAGCGCCGTTGAAGAAGGAAGAAAAATGATTTGAGATTGAATTAAGTCGTCATAATGGATGAGATCGTGAAAGCTATAGCTCCAATCAATAAAGAAGCTCAAACAGTCTTGAAAACTTGAATGTACCACAGGTTTGAAGCCCAGGCCACTTCAGACCACAGCTATGTATTTGCATACACATGGCAGTAGTCTATAACTTATCAATGGTCATGGAAGTAAGACTAGTCCATTGAATAGTCAACACTCTTCCCTGTATGGGATAGGGGAATCGAGATTGTTTCCAAACGCAAGATCTCAACTGCCTTTTCGGCAAAACAAACCAAGGCTCTTTTCGCATGTCAACATTTAGCAATCCGGAAGATACCCAAGAGGAAGATACGGAAAATAGCCGTCTTCAGCCACCATTCTAATCAAGAGTAAATATCAAACGGAGCACGAGAGATCGCGTGCCCGTAATGAACTTGTAGACTTCTCACAGCGTGCCATGATCAGAATCTGGTCATCACAGCACCCCTAAGTAACATGCGGCATAACTTGTTGACTTACCAGACTTGAACATGTGCGCAGTCATATCTACGAAGGCAGAAACTTGAGCCAAATACGTACTCCTGTGTTGCACTGCCTCGTCTTGGGGACGCGTAAATTTCCTTATACCTGTGCAGATTGGCACGGCTTGAAACAAAGAAAATTTTGAGTTCCGGATCAAACCCTCAGTGTCGGCGACTGTGTCGATGTTGAGTCCGATCGAATAGAGTTTTGACTCTCAGGTGCCAAAGGCATACCAGTACAGTCTGACATGAGAAAGTCAATTCTGAGTGGACAATGGACAATGGACATTGCGGCCATTGCGGAGTTTGCGGGGTCGGATGTAGTCGAGGGAGGGTAGGGCAGGTGATGATCGTAACTTTAGCATCAAGTTTGACAATCTATTCGACTCGGCACCTACGGACTTACGAAGCACCAAGCGTTCAACAGATATAAAGCGAGATGGTGAGAGGAGCATGTGACATTAGTAAGCTCGTACGTACGCTACACGGACTACGGCATTCCCTTCTCGACATCTTTTCTTCTTCTTTTCGAGACTAACATGAAGTTCCAACAAAACCTTATACTTCCGGAAGGGCTATCCGCTGACGGTCCATTTCACATCTTCGCAACGTTCAACTAAGTTTCGATAAGAAGTACACATGTTTCCAAGGCTGATATCGTGGATCTACAGCATGTTGTGGTTCTCCAGGCCCGATCTCAATCTTTCACTCCATATATAGTAGATGTGTATTAATCCCTACTGTCAATCATATGAAACCCCAGTGTTTTCGATAGCTTTGGTAGATCCGTTCATTGCATAGAAGACAGAGTCTTCCATCTCGAAATTCTATCTCGATGCCTCCTCACATACTCGATCACCCTAACAGTAAAACCACAAAACAATTTCAAGGGTATTTCTACCAGTCCACTTATAACGACGCACGGTCGTCGGACAAGCTCCGAAGATTCATACTCCGAAGATATTAGACAAGCCTTATAAGTTATAGCTCCTTGGGCATGAGAGACGCGGTTGATCTTTCGGTGCGAAGCGGATATGTATTGTGGGTTTCCTCTGCAAACACGATTAACCCCAAGAGATTGGCAGCGATTTTCTGAGTCACTTGACGAGTCTATTTTGCTGGACCTGTCTTTCGGCCATCTCCTTCGCTTTGGTTTTGACAGGAGAATTTGGCTTCTTACGAGAACTTTGATAATGAAAGGTTTGAGTACCGAGGAGATGGAAAAGGGATCTCAAATTTTAATGTACAGTATATCCTCCTTTCTTGGCCATCAACGTGGAATCCTCGAGGTTGTCGGGGAAGAGTAAAGGAGATAAAATTGGGTACCTGTAGTTTTGATGTATCTGCCGGTATCAACCTTTCGGGACTGACATTATTGCCTGGGTATTCTCTCAACCCTACCGGCATCTGTATGTAGTATGTATTGCTTTTTATCACAACCCAACCCAATGTACCTCGTTCCCAAAATAATCTGGCGCGGTCAAACTTTAAAAGCGTTGGCTGGTTGATTGCGCTCGGAAGTCTAATGGGTAAAGTACGAGATGTCCTTTCATACCTTAGAGCAGTAGCAGGTAAATCACAACCCTGTAAATATCCTTGAATGGAGACACGCACAATCACCCGTGAGTTAGTTGACTTGCCCCGAGTAAAATGTTTTTTCTGGCGGCAACTTTGAAAATTCGGCAAGAACCAAATGAGCGTGCTGCAGAGCATGCGGATAGCTTAAGGTTACATCGTAGCATGCAATAAAGTCTGATTAAGTCTCTCATGTATTTTACGTAGGGGTAAAGGAGAGCATGGGATTTGTGATGGTTATCGGTACATGCCACGATGGTGTTTAGGGATCGACTTTATTTGAGCCTACGGTATTAACCCAACACCTTCCGACAAGACGGTTCACTCAAAGGAGTAGAAGATCTGTTGATATTCAATATTCTCCAACACTCCCCGCAACTCACGGATGATTTTCATTCGATCGTCTAGGGACAAATCGATTTTACGCAGCACATCGCCACAAGAACTACTCCTTAACCTTATAGGGCATGTACAAGCAATTCTCTAGCCCCTTCATCAACAGAGCAACCGAATACGCACTTCAGGTGCTCTAACCATTCACGTCGACACCTACTCTAGCCGTTCTTACTTATGCACTACACTGTACGAAGGTACGAAGGTACGCACGTATGTAGGAAGAGAGGAAGTTGGGAACCGACGAACCGACGATGCCGAGTTAATTACTACAACTGCCTAGTCCATACCGGCCAGATCCGAAGCGAAGTATAGCAAGTATAGCGATGAATAATCAGAATAATGCCAATAATACCTCAATAGTACCTCAATAATACCTCTAGAGGTTACTCCAAGAGGTTACTTCAAGAGCTTGCTTGAATCCTTTCATGGCATTATTTCCAGTCATTCCCGCGTGAGAGCTGCAGCCTGCATGACCATATCTGACCATACATGACCATAAGACGATGGACCATTTCTCTCCAGAGTGTATCAGACCACAGCAATTTACGCAGCACATATCAGCTGTTTGCCCTTATCGGAACCCAAGGACAATATTCGTATCATTATTGGGTATCATTGGTTTCAAGACATACCTACTCCGTAGCAAAGTTTACGTGTGCTCCACCTATCAGCTAATCAATCCACAACAAGACTTGGAACAATTATTTTGAATTTTTATTTCTACGGAGTGCCACTGGTGTACCGTACGTAGTATTTTCGCTGGCCTGCCCCCGCCATACCAGATCCATCTCTCTCGCGTTGAAAAAGTCAGAAACTCGGAGACTCAAATCTCTTCCTTTTCCTTTTGCTTTCTTTTCCCACCAGCACTGGAACATTTTATTTTTTCTTCATGTCAAACTAAACAAGCGTACCCTTCAAGGCTTCAACATCAATTGTCCATATCCCCCGTTCCTTGATCTACATCACACAATTCCATTTTTAGGGTAGCTGGTTCCACACCCTGGAGAGTGCCTGTTGACTCGAGATCGGAAACTGATATTTCGATCGGTCTTTTTCTTGAAAGACCTTCCATCCCGGTTGGAAAAATTAAGAAAAACTTGAGACGAGTTCCCCCCGCCTTGATTTCGACCACCTGAGTAGGGCTCCTCATTGGTGTTGGCATGGGCATTGGCATTTTCATTTAACAGAATCATCTCGTTACCATTATCAATCTGGAGAATTAATGTAAAAGTCCGAGAAGCCTCTTGGGAAAGTTTAACGCATCCTTTTCTTTTTCCATATTCCTATCCAAACGATCTGTATCGACTACTACCTGGCACGTACAACATTGCGCAGCACTCACATCTCTTATACATATTACCACCGTTGCATCCGCCCGCATTCCAAGCCAAGGATCTGCCGCCTTTTCTATTTTAGTGAGCGAGGGTACATACCAAGTATTCCTCTTCAAGAACACATTATATCTTGTGTTGAGATCTATTGAGATTTTATCATATACTCGATAACTCCATCATTTTCGAACCATCAACCAGATCCAACAGATACAACATCTTATATCGCTGCGAGAATTCGCCCACATCATCAATACCTTCCCTCCATACGACACACACATACAAAATGTCATCCTACACATTCTCCAGAGCGTCATCAGACTCCTCGTCCTCATCCTCATCATCGTCTTCATCCTTTCAATCATCATATTCAATGGAACCAAGAGTAGAAGTTATGCGCTGCTCGAGATGCGCCAAAACTGTCGAAACCATCAGCACAATGCAGTACCAAGGCAACGAGCTACGAAGAGTCAGCACAGATGATGCAAGCGCCAACGGCATGGTACGATTCGGTCACAACCTGTACTATTGTGATCGTTGTGCCAAGATGGTTGGTTACAAGTGAAGCGAGAATTGATGAAGGGGTTTCAACGAGCGTGTACAGTGCGACAATCACAACTTAACAACAACGACTTCGAAGGTACGGGATTGGGACTTGGATGGATGTAAAGATAGACGCCTCCGGATGGTTTGGAGTTCAGGGAATACTTCTTGGAAAGAAGCCCATGGGAAAGGATTAGGGAACTTGGAGTATGGAGTTATGATGTGAGGGCACGATTGATACCTATTTCCGATACCGATTTGTTACAATACAGTACTACTATTTACGATACCATACCATGCGTTACCAGTACCTTTGGGTGAAGAATCACTGTACACATGTGTTAGATGATTGCAAGTATACACTGTACAACGCGGGAGCGTTTTAGATGTGTGGTTGTATCGCGTCGCATCGCATCACCATTACATCTGCCCCGCCAAAAGACTGTATCAACGACGAGCATAGCCAAACTCAATACGACCTCATTTTACGACCTCATCTTACTATCGCCATCGCTATTACTGTCGACTCCCGCCCCCACAGTCGAATGATGCAGAAAAATCCTCCATTCAAAAAATCTCCAAAACAATATATCCTCAAAAACGCATGCACACAGCCTCCTGTCCCTACTATCGTTCATGCCAAGAGAAAGGATAAAAAAACCGGTCATATTGCACCCTTTTATTATCCTTGCATTTTATCCGGGCTTCCAATACCCCACAGAGCGTGGAGCGTTATGATTGGGTTCGGCCTCGGAGACTCGGAGAGGAACCGAATTAATTCTCCAGCAAGAAACGCAGTTGCGTGGCTTGAGTGATTTTTTTTTGGGAAGAATGTGGAGTGATGTCACTGATGCATATCGTGAGATATTTATTTATCGTTTTGAATGGTCTTTAGACTGTTAAGTGGAGGTGGACATCCATAGTTCCATGGGTGTTTTCATATTTTTAGATCCTATGGCAAGGGAGGGCCGTGGAGATAATTTGATGCTTGGGTTAGATGGGGGTTACAATGCATATATCGTAAATCGTACATGTGCACGAGAGGAAACAAGCAATGATGGATGGTTGTGTACTTCATATACTTCACGTAGATATGTCATTTCAGTATTTTCGAGCGGTTTCTTCGGAAACGCCTCACTTGTTTTATTTACTGTGTAAATATTTGGCTGGACTGAACTGGATGTAACAAGATCAAGGAAATATAAATCAAACAAACATCATACATTAACATTGCTACCTTATCATTATGCATTAGTAGTGTGAACCTTCTTACCTGGATACTTTATCTAGGGCTCAAAAATTGCAATTTACCAAATACCCTGATCTTACCCTGATCTTCAAATTGTCTCAGTAGTGCGTAGGGTAGGGTACCCTTTTCCCCTCCGTACCCTTCGTACAGTAGCGATATTAGCGATCCTTGGAATGGTCAAGGCACGTGATTGACAAATGAATTGTTTCCTGCACGGACTCACGAGAACATTTCTTCGACATCTCCACATATCAATTTGCTCACTCAATGCTTCTCACCCCTTTAAAGATAAGAGCAGACAGAAACGATTGGATGCAAGGATCGGGAAATGATGAGGATGTGATTTAATTGGCTTCGTTTCACGTGATATGCAGACCGGTGAGCTGTCAGGTGGAGTTTGAGAGTGATGGGGAGCGGGGAAGGCCCGACCATTTGTTTCTTGGAGGTTGTATGGCATTCATGTATGCGGAGATGGTTTTGGATTTGAGTTTGAGTTGGGCTGGAGTGGGTAGGGAGGGAAAAGGTCTGTGAGGCTGTGAGAGTAGCATAACAGATGAGATGGGAATAGGCAGAGGGTGCACAAATTGCGGGTTCTGATAAGAAGTGTCCGAGAAGCGCCGGTGTTCACAGAGAGTGCCTCAGTGCGTGTAACCGTTTCGACATATTTTGGGCTTTCAGATCTGCAACAAGAGTTTGCTGTCACACGCGATGATGCGTGTGAGCGATGTCGCTGAGAAATCAAACTGCGATCGCGATATTGGGATGAGATGCAAGTGTAGTCTTCGGAGGAAAATCTCTTTCCAGCACACTGGTGTAAGAGATTTTATGCGTCGGATTTAATGTCGACTTTTATGGAGCTGCGGGGTTGTGTTAATGCGTTGATGCCGCGGCTGGTAATGAGATAAATAATTTAACTCAAGGAGGGGAAGAGATAAACAAAATGGAGAGCAGATACCAGATACCGGGGTGAGGGAGTGGATACTACAAGTCGTGGAGCTTCTCAATTGGTCAAAATAGGACCTCTGGAAGAAAAAAATAAACATGCTGAGCTAAGGTAGGTATGGTGAGTATCTCTTCATCGAGATGTGGAGTGTCTTGCGGCAGTCAAAAAGAAATGAGTTGAGTTAGCGAGCATGATACAGTACGCGTGCTGCCAGACAATATGTGAGTCCGCCGCTATAAAAGCAGATTAGTCCCCTTCCAGTCCACCATTTTGTGGTATGTGCATCTAGCTTCGGAGCTGTATGCTTTCTGGACCTACGAGTGCGGTTTTTGACAGAGTGTGGATGCTATAGTGCAGCAAATAACATTGGGTTCTTGGATGGTGAGTTGAATGACTGCCATTGAAGCTTGTAAGTGGATATACACGCAGTACTAAAAGCAATCTCATCTCCGAGAATTTCATTAGGTTTTCTGTCTTCTATTGGGATCCTGGCGGGTGTATCTCCTCGGCATACCAGTGCCGATGGACTGCCGCCCACGTGTAGAAGATTCCTGTAGAGACTATGCTCCGTTTACTAGGGCAAAATTCCTCTGCCAAGCAAGGACTTTGAAGAGGTAGTGAGATGTACTGCTCTCAGCTGCAACCGATAGAGTGAAACAGGCTGCAACTTTGCAGGACAACAGTCAGATGCCAAGCAGAGTTTGAAGCGAGTGCTGCTGAGCTCAGTAATTATGAAAAGAAGGGTGCATGTTTTTCATGGACTCGAAGTTGAGCACCAAGATGCGAAGATAAGGTCTGAAAGATGTGATTTCACCAACGTTTGGCAATTATAGCCGGCGCGAGATGTCAGTGAAGTTTTCTAAACAAGTAAGTTGGGCTTAAAAAACATTAAACGAGGATTTCGAAATGGAGTGGAATTCGTCTGCATGTTTGGGTGTGTGTATGGTCTTCAATTTTTGTAGATACGTTTCTGCTTTTTTGGTTACTTGTTGACAGGATATTCATTGCTTTCATACAACCTGCCGTCTTTGATATCCAACTCTCCATGTTAAAACTCTAATCCAACGAGTGCTCATCATAATACTCATCATTTTCATCGTCTACATCGTCTTCATTTTTGCCACCATCATCGTCTTCACTCTTATTCTTCTTGTCCATCGCCCCACCACCATCAATAATATTCTTGTTTGCGGCTCCCAGCTTCTTACTGTCGTTGAAAATCTCCTCTACTACTGCTTGGAACATTCGGTGATCCATAGTATTGGGGCCACTTCTTTGCAAAGCATCCTCATCATCGCGACCATCATCATTGCTACCATCATCATCCTTTTCTGTGTCGTCATCCTTTTTTGTGTCGTCATCCTATTTGAAGCCTTCGTCCCATTTTCTTCCCATCTTCACCATGTCTCTGACGCGTCCCGAGGTCGACAAAAGCGTAGCCCCAACAATCATCCATAGGTCTCTTCTCATAAGCGCACACTTCCATTCCTTATTCACCATCTGCTCAATGATCTGTTTCGGCATCCATGCCTTTGTTTCCTGCTTCTCAATATCGAAGTTCAAAGTCGACCACACAATAACATCCTTGGCTCTCCAATTCTCAATTTTCTGCGCTGTGTCTTCAGATCCGTGATCATCGACGCCATTTTGCCGGCTTGGATCAAAAAACGGACGCAGACTGGGATACAATTCAAGAGGGAAGTGGCCGCTGGGACTGCCATTTGGTGACCAGAAAAGGAGAACGAGGCATGTTGGCTGGAAAAACGTCTCTGGTAATGGCGAGAGATCAAATGTGTATTCGTGGATCTTGTCGATGGGATAGAGGAGGTTTGGATCAATGCGGAATGGGAGAAGAGGAGCAAAGAGAGTCGCAAGAGTTTTCAATTCTGGCACAAAAGGCATGATACAAAGTTTCTTAAACGGATACTTTAAATCAACTTGATCGGGTCGAAGTGGGACATTGCTTGGTGGTCGAACATTAGTCTTGAGCATTCCGGCATCTTCGAGCAGTGGGACTAGGACTTCTAAAAGCCAATGAGCAGGATATCCTAAACAATAAAGATGAGCTAGTTGACGAAAAAGAATCGTAAGATTGAGCGGCGAATAGATCATATGATTGTTGTCTGAAATGAGACGATGATCAGACGTCATAGGAATTGCCAATCTAAGGAAAATTCCATGAAACCACCTCTTCAGATCATCACGAGAAAGTCGGGCTTTCACCTGTTTTGAAAGCGGTACAGACTCAGTTGGCTGATTCCAACAGTAATATGTGTAGTTGGCGAGTGGCACAGGCTCACGTCCCTTAAAAGCAATACGCACACCGGTCAATTGTTCGAGCATCTTCTCGCTGCTTACAAGTTGATACTCAGAAAGAAATTCATCCATGTTGCGGAAAAAGGGGGAATTTCGCAGGCACACACTGCCCGCACGACTAGTAGAGTGGCGGGCGAGGAGCGGCATTGCATGAAGGAAGGTTGTTAAATGGCCACCGACATAATCACTATATTGTAATATTAGACTTTTTGCATTCATCTATCATGTTAGAAGGAGTGTACTCACGGTATATTGCTCAAGGATATCCGGTGATAAAGCGATGGGAAGTCTTTTGGGCGCGGATACCCAATATCCTCAGTGTCCAGTGCCTGACTCTGAGTGGGATCATAACGGAGACCAAAATGGATTCGTTCAGCAACATCAATGTAATCACCCTTTACTATCTCTACCTTCAGTCTACTACCCAAAAACCTGATTGCGCTTGCTGCTTTCGCAAAAAAAGGCGCAATATGTTCGAATAAGTGTGGATACTGTTCCGTGGGTGGCAGTTCCTCTTTCAGCTCCACCCACAGTCTCGAGACCAGATTAAATGGATCAAATCGCAAAAAGACTCTTGGCTCCGGATTTCGAATATCTATATGCGCATCCCAATCAAGCAGTGTCGGGTTAAATACCCAGTTATCCGTCATAATATGGGTCATGAAAAGCCGCGATTCTCTTCCTTTAGGATTGTGCAATGCTTTGAGGCTCAAATCCGCCAATTTTGGATCATGTTTCTGCATTGCTTGCAGGAATGGCAGAAGGAATCCCGTTGCACAATAGAGGTCTCTCTCCTTGTTGCAGTATGGCCCAATGTGTTCCCAATATTCGGCACTCTTATTACTGTATATAGAGTCATCCATGGTGCTTATCGTAGATTCCATGACTTCTTTAGCGGTAAATACGTTCGCTACTTTGCCTCCAGATACCCAATTTTCGAGCGCTTGGATGTAGGATGGGAGATCTGCTTCAGACAGATAAATCCATTCTAATGGCTGTTGGGCATTTCTCAGACATCTTAAAAGCTCTGCAATAACTTCTTGCAGCTGTTCATTGATCCATTTGGGCATTAAACATGATGCGTAGATGAAGTAGATTGTGTTCAAGATGTTCACCAAATCGAACGTTTGTTCTCTTTTGACCTGGGAGAGCTTATCTAGAAGAGAGAATATGATGAGATCTCTAGCAAGCGCATATTTGTTGATATCATTCAATGTGAAGTGATATCGACGTTTTGGTATCTTTCCCTTGGCTTCTTCGTGTGCGATACTAATAAGCGATGCTAGGAAGTGTCTAGCGTCGCCTAGTCCGCTGTTGAAGAATGATATGGTCTCGCCGGCAGGAATTTGTAGCGCAAGGGATTCGTCGAAGAGGGATTTGGCATTGTCATGACCGACTGTCACGTAGTCTCCAGCGGATCTCCTGTGACGCATTAAATCCATCCACTCAACCAATCTGTAAACAATGGAGATGGAGATGAAAATCCAATCCACTTACATTGAGGGATGATATCGTGCAAGTCGCTCCAAGATTTCCACCCTGCGTTCTTTCTGCATATGAAGAGGACATTCCGGCAGGTTGTTCTCGGCTTTCCTGATTCTTTCCTCCAAATCTTGAATGTGCTTTGTGAAGGCACTATCCTTATCGCCAGTGGCTGCTTTATTCATCAATTGAATAGCTTTCTTGGCAAATAACACGCACATTTTATATTGGCCACTCTCATAATAAGCGGAAGAGAGATTTCGAAGTGGCGCTGGATCATCTTGGGATGCTCGAGCTGCTTGCATATATTTATGGATCGCTGTTTGAATATTTAGATTCACGCTTTTACATATTTAGCCAGAAGGAGAAACAATTTACCGTTGACGAAATCCCGAGAATTGTACAGTTTATTGCCTTCCTCTCGCAAGCTTTTTGAGAGATCTTCCGGAGAAGACATTTTTGATGATTGTGAAGGTTGTAGGCTTGCAAAATGAGGGGGGTGATGAGAGTATCTAAACCAGAAACGAAAGAATGTCCAAAGTGCAATAATTTTGTATCTCGCACTTGTAAGCCACTTAGTGAATAGCCACGTTGGTCAATCACTGTAAATATCAAGGAAACAAGCAATTGAATGAAAGACAGCAAAGATGAAGCGGAAATTTGCAGTTTGATGAATGTTTGTTCATATGCAGCTTGGTCCAATAATTCTGTTTCAATCTTCATTTAATGAGTATCATCAAAGCAGCAAACATTCATTATTGTGGTCTTGCTGGTTCCAACCTTAAGTATGACAATGTACTATACAGATATCTTATATCAATGCAGCATTCTTTAAATTTCCATATATATGCTTTTAAATTTTAGAGATCAATTTTTCAAGTCAAGCAATCAATGAGATCAACAGCTTTGAAGCCAAATAATTGAATACTGAAACGAATTAAGAATTTTCAAGTTGAGGAGTGGTCCATCAGATCGTGCAGCCACTTTTGTCACTGGAAAGTAAGCAGCGTTTACCCATTTTTCCTCTTTAAAAACTGTACCTTTTACTGCAACAGGGCCATAATTAACAGTCTCTCAAGTATCAACTCTCCATTAGCCAAATCTCCACCAATCCCTTTCCATCTTTTCAACAAAAGCCTCTGGCATCCATGCGCTTACAATGCTATTCACTCCATAATATTCGACAGTAGTCCAAACTGTTACTCCCATTTTTCTCAAATCCTCGATCGGAGTACCCTTCTATCTTGCATCTTTCTCATCTCCCCAGCTAGGATCAAGTAGTTTTCTCAAATCCTTTAAAAATTTAACTTCCAAGATCTTTCCACATTTCTTTCAGAACATCATAATCGTAAAAGACAAGTGCAAGATTGAATATACGCATGGAGTGCGTTTGCTTCAGAAGAACATTAGTTAGGTGAAATTTGTACTTGAAGATGGTATTCTCTTTTGGAATGCCAGGTAGAGAGGGCAAGGAGAAAGGTAGCAAGGGCTCGAACAGTCTTGCGAGGGTCCCCATCTCTTGAATAAATAGCAAATTACAAAGGTGCTTTTCAGCATGCTCGCGTTTCACTTCAGTGACTGGATTTGGCGAATGACGAGGCGGGTGGGCTGTAGTATAGACTTTGTCTTCGAGAATGTTTAACAAGGCTTCAGACATCCAATGAGAGAGATAGCCGATGCTACGTAGATGGGCTATGAACCGAAATATGATGGTAAGAGTCAGAGGCGAGAATATTATTATAGCCGACATGTTTAAGTCTGAAATGTATTGTATAGCAAGGCGGAAGAAAAAAGTATAGAACCACTTCATAAAGGGCTTCCGGGAAAGTAACCTCGAAATTACCGCAAGAAAGGCTTTAATAATCCATAATCTATATAGTTGGCCATTGGCTATGTTTCCTCACCACGCGACAACACCGTCACAGAGGTAAGTTGCTGGCCATCTTGGTGTCAGTAATGAGTTGATATTCAGCCAGAAAGCTTTCCACATCATCGAAGGCGAGCGTATTCCGTAGACAGTTTGATCTAACAAACCTGGTCGGTCGTTGTTTCAAGATTGGGGAAGCATAGAGAAATGTGGAAAGCTACCCGCCTACATAGTCACTACAAAGATTGGATCAGTCTGGACTCTCGAAAAACGATAAAAGAAAAAAGCTCTCGAAAGAAAAGCATTGAAGGATCATAGTAAAGAAATAAGATTGAAACCCCATACATTGCTCAGAACATTGGGTAATGAACGCGCTTCAACTGCGGTCGGAGTAAAGTAAAAGTGAAACAAGAAGAATGGGATACTCACGGTACGTTACTCAAGTGAATCCGGTCATACAAGACTGGGAAGTCTTTCCGACGAATTTGTTTCGATGCTGTGGCGTCTGATGACTGTAGACTATTCTCATCGCGGTACAATCCGAATCTTAATTTCTCCGCAAAATCCACATAATCATCACACAGAGCTTCAACCTGAAGACGACCACTGAGGAATTTGATGGAACGAGCTGCATCTTGAAAGAATAGAGTAATGTAATAATATAAAGAGCCAGGAGTCTTTTCTTCCGAACGCAAGGGTTCTGATGCAGAGCGAGAGTCTATTAAGTCATGGAAAGGATCGTTGGCAAGGCCAAAATCATTCTTGTCCTCCAGAAAATCATACCAATCGAGATACATTAGGGTTGTATTGAAACTCCAGTTTTCACGCAAATGCTTTTTTAATGCTGCATCGCTTTTTCCTGGATTACTGCCTCGATTTTGGAGTAATGCTAGGATTGCAGGGTTGTGGTTTCGAAGAAGTCTTGTGGGAGGAATGAGAACCGCTGTAGCCCTGTAGAGTTTATTTTCTTTCTTGAAAGCAGTGGGCACATTTTCATCGCCACGTAACAATGGAGGTAGTATCATCTTATTTCGGTGCAGTTGCTCGATTACTTTATCTACTGCGTTGGCAGTGGTGATGCAAGTCAAAGCTCTGCCCTTCCAGTCTTCCAGAGTTTGGATGTATAAGCAAAAGTCCTCCTCACAAAGATGCATCCAATTCAAAGGCTGTGTGCTTAACTGTAGCAAAGAGAGGGCTCGATCGATGGTGCGATATAAGTGATTGAAAGTGACGCGGGGAATAATGATAGCAATAAAGACATAAAACAAAGTAGATAGAATTTCTTCAGCTTTCTCGGAGCTTGGCTCGAGGTTAGAATATTCTTCCAGCAACATAGAAATAATCAAGTCTCTTGTAATAGTATTGTGGCTGACATCGACCATGGTGAGATGATATTGCTTTTGCTTCAAGTGGTGCTTCTTTTCAAGCTCAGAAATGTCAATGATTATTTGGAGTAAATTACGTGCATCGCCAATACCAGCGAATAGAAAGGAGACATCATTAGATACAGGTTCATTCTTGTCAATGGTATGATCAAATAACGAAGCAGGCTTATCATTGCCGACACAGCAGTATTCCTTGGCAGTAGCACCGTAGAAGAAATTCGTCAGATGAGTCCAAGAATTTAGGAGGGCTTTTACAATGTTGGCCGATAACGAGGAATTTTTCAAGAATTCGTGGGTCGAGCTTGCAGCTGCTTCAGTTCGGAAGATTCAAACGAATTTATTTCTGCCCTCTTTATCCGTTGTTGGAATTTCTCTACCAAATCCGTATTCTCATTGTCCTCGCTTTCCCCCAAGATTTGAAGAGCTCTTCTCGCGCTTGACGATACATTGGGTATTCCCCAACTTCGAAATACGCCGCCGATAAATCACCAAGGGGTGTGCAATTGTCCGGTACAAGATTGGCGGATTCTTGATATTTGGCTATAGCTTTTTTGAAGTCAGACACCATGACCAGTAAGCCAATCAAATCGTGATACCATACATCGTAGGAGTTTGCCCGATTTGTACAAATCGTTTCCTTGTCTCAAGATGTCCGCCTGCTCCACTTCGGATAATGTGATAGATGTCATTGTCCCTGTCACCACTGATTCTTTGCTTATCTTTGCATTTGATGCAGCACTGCGTGGTCAAGAACAAGACTGATTCAATTTATAAGATTCTTGGGAAGCCAGAATTGATCTGAGACAAGTGTAAGAGCGTTGAATCCAATGTTTTGTCAAAACTCAAATCGGAAGTGTATTTTAGATAAGTAATATGTAGAAATCACCGCGACTGGTATCAATTTTTGACTTTTGAGGAAGGCGCAATACGGGTTCCTCTAGTTGTGATAACGAGAATGAACCAACAACCCGCTCTTGTCACTTATAATTTAGACTATAAAAAGGCACAATCTACCAATTCATGTTTAAGATAAGTAAAATTCGTTTCAATTGATACTACTTACTAGGTAGTCACTGACAGATCACGAAGAGTACACTTTCAATCAATTCTCGATTCTCGGCAACGAGAATTGAACCCACACTGGTATGCTTGGACAACTCAAAGAAAATTCTTAAATATGAGATCAACTCGATCAGCCATTATAACCCAAAGGAACAATTCGATCCTTTTATATGATAAATGACTCTCGACAACGGCCGATTGTTTCCTGGTTGGGGAAAGTGTTTGTCTTAGAAAAAACACTTGTTCCTTTAGCTTTCTTGTTGTATTTTCGATCTTGATTCTTGATAGAAAATTGCCGCAAGAAATCTCTAATTTTTACTACACACCACCTTAATTCAAGTTAATGTAATAATTGGCTTCATATCATCAGATTAAATTCAGTTATATGATTTTATCGATACAAACATTGTTAGTTAAGTTTAAAGAGCGAGTGGCATATTCATATTGTAGTGTCATGTGCTTTTCCCAGACCAAGAACTAATCGGCCACCAACGAGAGCCGGCTATTAGCACTAAGGGGCGAGTTCCACCGAGATACACTAGGTACCTAGTCACCTGGGAGGCTCGACATTGAAAAATGCATACTCATACTTGATCGGCTGTTTTTCAGTATGTCAAGATTAGGTGAGATCTTACAACAAAAGTGTGTTTCACAATTCGAAAAAGTAAAATGTTGGTGTGAATGTCCATTGAGCTTTCCAGGCTGTTAAAGCGAGAATACGCCATCAACCGGGCCCTAAATCAGAAAACGTACATCGAAACAAGTTGGTTCAAAGTTCATTGGTTTTAATAAATAGTCTCCATTGTATTCTTTGCCGCCCACGTTACGAGCTTCCAGGGCAGGCTGATACCTGGGCGAACATAAGTAGCGCCACCGACCAATTACTTCATGCGGTACGCCGAGTAATAATAACAATTCATAGATTTTCTAAATGCAGTTCGGTTACTTAGAGCCTCACTACCTTGGCTCCGACCAATCTACCTGATCCGTAACTTGTCCCGCAGTTGGGTGCGCATAAGAAATCTTTAACCTCAGTCGTAATGGTGGCTAAAACAATCAGTAAATGGTCTGTGGCAATTTGTCAAGAAAACTTACCCCTTTGCTTCCTGTAATCCTCATTGATTGTGTTGCTTCTGCCCCGGGTCCCAGATCAGAGCTTGACATAGCTTGTAATTGGAGTTTTTGCGTTTTAGGTACTGCAGCTTGTAATGCCACTGCAGAGAAAGATTGATGCATGGAGGAGTTCTTAAAACGAGCCAAGACTTGCACTAAACCTTCTGCATTTCGTTGGAGTTGCAATGTAATGTTAAGATCATTTTTGTCGTAACATGGATGGGTTGGGATTGAAGGAGCTTGAGGTGGAGGCGAAGATACACTAGAGAAAATATCGTTTGAAGGAGTTGCCGTAGCAGATGGGGGTTGTTGAGATGGAGTGCTACCAAATAGGTCCATAATTGAACTCATATTTGACTGTTGAGCTGGAGGTGATGTAGGTTGAGATGAATCGGTGCCTCCAAGTATGTCTGCTAGAAGGTCTGCATTATTTTGAGAACCGCTATTAGCACCTCCAACACTTGCATCAGGCATTCCTCCGTCTCCCATTAGGTCAAACAACAGATCCTGTTCCGCTGGTTTGACAATTTTTGACTTCCTGTTAGATGCTTTACTTGGTTTCTTGCTTGCCTCTCCCAGAACTCGGGATTCTTCCTTAATCTGTGGTGGTGGCATTTTTTCCAATACACCTTTTCTGATGGAGTCATAGCTGAATAAGTTGCCATACTCTACCGCTCGCTGTTGAACCTCAATGTCGAGGTTCGTGGAATTGTTGGACAAGATTCGTCGAATCCGATCAATTTGTGCAGGGTCTGATAGACGTGTACTGAGCTTCATCAAGGATGTGACAATGTATTCGGTTGCAATTTGAGTGGCATAACTGCTGTTAAGAATGGTTGAAAACAAATCAACAACTTCATTCTCTTTAACTTCTTGGACAAGTTCCTCTTCCTCGTATTGTCCACCACGAAGTAAAGTTTCTCCGTATTCTCCAATACACCAGGCACCGGCCAAAGTAAGACCTTCTTGAGTAATGTCCTTTTTCAAGCTAGTATAGAGCTTCTGCACCGCATAAGTTTGTAATTCAGGAGTGGTGGCAATAAGCCGAATGAATGAAGATAGAATTTGCTCTTTGACGTAATTTCCTGCTAAAGTCAAGACTCTTAGCATAGTATCCACATGCCATCTTTTGTTTGGCGAGAATCTGTCTGCTGCGATACCAATTTGGCTGGTCATGATTGGCTTGAACTCATTATCGGCAACTTCCAAGAAAGCAAGGAGTTCCCTAATAAGTACCCTGACATTGCTTTCATTGATGAGAGTGAAACTTAAATCTAATGCACGCCGCCTAATACTGATATCAGGATCTCGAAGACATTCAAGTATGGTATTTCTATGTCGCTGAACTGCGTTTGGCTCAATTGCGACCACTTTAATGAGTGTGTTCAATGCCACATATCGAATATTGTTGTCTCGATTTGAGAGGAACTTTCCAAGGATATTGACACCAAGTACTCTCAAACCAGAATCAGCTTCGATATCGAGGATAGTAAGGACGGCCTCGTATAAAATAGAATTTCCAACGTTCTTTGAAGAATCTGTATTTGTAGCAACTTGGGCCAAAATGTCGTTGATTTGTTCACTTGTTTCTGGATCTCCACGGCCAAGAACTCTCAACAATTGTAATATCTTAACTTGTAAGAATGGATCCGTAACGCCAGTGACATCATGCTCAGGGGCATAACCGGAACTAGCCAATCCCTTCAGCGTTCGAACTAAGCCGCCGCTAAATGGTCTGAATTTCTCCACGATTCCCTCCTCTCCTCCTTCTGCCTCGTCCATTTCGCAGAGATTTGTTACTAATGTAAGACCGCACAACAAAACACCATGATTTCGATCCGACAGTAGGTTTGCGGCCTTTTCGAGGAAATGTTCTTGTAAATCTGGTACTTTTTTGCATATTCTCATGGCACATAATGCAGCCTTGCGACGAATATAGGGGTTGGCGGTAGAAAGAAGGGTCTCGATTTCAGGAAACAAGTCTCGAGACATTTCGACCGATGCAATATTTCCCAGGGTACATAGAGCCAATCCAACGATATATTGATTAGAGTGATTGAGGTCACTGTGTTCGAGTCAGCTTCATGGCTCCATGAGTCTAACAGTTGCGCATACTTCTTCAAAGAGTTTGTAACCAATGTCAGTACCTCCTGATTTTCGTCCAGTAGAAGCATTGTTCCCAAATAACCCAATCTCTTGTCCGCAAATCTTGGAGATGCAAGAAGTTTGAGACATTCTATTTGGCCAAAATGTGTTCTCTCACCCAACGTGAATAAGTATAATAGCTTCGCTACATTGTTTCGTCTGCCAATCCAATACGTCAGATATGTTCAAATAAACAAGCGGTGACCTTCCTACCTGACATTATGATCACCACTCTCTTCACGAAAACTTGCTCTTATCGCAGCACTCTCCTTTTGTACGACTGCGCGCTCATCTGCGATTGTTTTCGAAGCTCGCACATTGCGAATGAATTGCTTCACTGTGTATGATGAGCTTGGAAATCGAGGGGTATGGGGCATCATTGTTTATTACTTACATGAACTCATTCTGATACTGTTCAAGGCCCAAAATGGGCCAAACTTCTAAAACTTCCCAGCTCAAGAGATCACAAGTTTTGCTTCAAAAAAGGAGCAGGAATAATAAAGTGATTGAATAGTCGTTTTGGTTCTGAGGTGCCTAATTGGTGATGCAAAGGCCACCATACTTCGCTTGATGTCTTGATGTCTTTCAGGATGCATCCCCTAAGCTCGGTCTAGTCCGCATACGTGCTAGTAATGGGTGGCGCCCGAGGCTACGATTAAGCCTACTGTGGCTCGGTATGGCCCCGGTGCGTATTTAATACGCGGGTAAGGCCGCTGGTTGAACGGGTGGGAATATAACCCACAGCCTCGAATATCATCATCCATGGATAATGGATAAGCAATGAATCAGTCAATCTGGTCAAAATATTTCTTATTCTAATGGTTGTATATGAAGGAAATTGGAAACATATCTAAATTGAGTTCCCCTTATGAAATGACATATTCAACTGAGTCCATAAAAGTTGCCAGACCCTTTCCAAACTTTGATTGTTTCAAAAGGGGCATTCATAAGGAGCTTCATTCCCCCAATCTCTGCGGCCAGTTTCACTCAATTTCTAAATCCATTTCAATACATACGAGATGTCTACTTCTGCGGATGTATACACCAATGGGAATAGTCATGATCATATCTTGCGTCCCAGACCCCAAAATAGCTCTAACCCAACAATTGTTCGAACAATAAGTGAGGAGGGGTTATTACCAGTCAATAATTTTAAAGACTTCTCTGAAGATGGTATTTCTACAGGCCCAACTAGGTGAATCTTTCAAATCAAGTTAACTGCTGTATCTAACATGAAGTAGTGGACGTACAACACCTGTTCCCGAAGATGCACCTCCCTCCGTTCAATCGATGTTCTCTGCGAAGAGACAAGTCAAAGCAGAGCAGAAACGTCGTATTTTCCCTATAATCGAATACACCTCAAGAGTCTCGCACTTAGATCCACATAGTGATCACCATGATTTCACTGGATTTTACATTTTGTTTTGGATTGGTCTTGCTATCATGGCAATCACAACGATGTTGCGAAATATCAAGGATACCGGTTATCCCATGAGAGTGGAGATTTGGCAATTATTCACAGTAAAGGTTTGGGAACTTGGGGTCGCAGATGCATTAATGGTCGCATCTACATCCATAAGTCTTCCCCTTCATAATTTCTTCAGAAGTAAGACAGGTAAATCTTTGGGGTTTCAATGGACCAGAGGAGGGATGGCCATCCAGAGTTTATACCAAATTATTTGGATGGCATTTTGGGTTTCGTAAGTGTTTTTACTGCATACAATAGTGAAGCGCAATGCTGATATGTAGTATAGCATACCATTCCTTCGAGATTGGACATGGACAGCTCAGGTTTTTCTTTTACTTCATACTATGGTCCTACTTATGAAAATGCATTCATATGCATTTTACAATGGTCACCTTAGCGAAACCGAACGACGATTACAAGAGCTTGACTCTCCAGCAACTGCTTCAAAAGCACCAGCATATCAATATCCAAGTCCAAGTCCAGGTCACAAGAGAACAGCGTCAGAGATCAAAGCTCTTACTCAGACCAAAGCTGACGAGGTTGCGAGTCTTAGGGAGGATTTAGCTCTCGAATTGACGTCTACCATGGGCTCGGTCACATACCCTCGGAATCTCACGTGGTACAATTATGTCGATTATATTTTCTGCCCGACACTCTGCTATGAGCTCGAATATCCTCGCACAGCAGGTATAGTCTGGTCAGAATTGGGATACAAAACTCTTGCTACGTTTGGTGTCATTTTCTTGCTCACTATCACATCCGAAGAATTCATCCATCCCGTTATGACCGCATCGGCAACGAGACTTCAAACTGTAACCTCGTTTACCGAAAATGCCCTCGTCGTTGCTGAATCAATCAGCTTACTTCTCTTTCCTTTCATGATTACTTTCCTTCTCGTATTCCTGGTAATTTTTGAATTCGTCCTCGGTGCATTTGCTGAGATAACTTGTATGTACAAAATTTCAACGACCCTCTTGGCTTACCCCAAATCTATTTGCACCTCAGTGCTCCCCTTTCCTTGCGCGCTGTACTGACAAGTCTCTCTAAACCCATAGGCTTTGCAGATCGCCACTTCTACTCTGACTGGTGGAATAGTACAGACTGGATGCAATTCTCCCGCGAATGGAATATTCCTGTCCATCACTTCTTCCATCGTCACGTATATCTCGGCTCTCGCTCGTATATTGGCAAAGGGGGAGCCACTTTTATAACTTTCTTCATCAGTGCCATTGGCCATGAAATAGTCATGGCTTGTATCACTAAGAAACTTCGAGGCTATGGAATGGTACTACAGATGAGTCAACTTCCTATCATTTGGTTACAGAGTAGACCGTGGGCTAGAGGGAAGAAGGTGTTGAATAATGTGTGTTTTTGGTGTAGTATGATATTGGGGTTGAGTGGTATGTGTAGTTTGTATGTTTTATTGTGAGACAGGGAGGGGGGTGAGAAGAGCAGAGTTTGGCCCCGGAAGAGTGGCCATTTCATATACCATTAAAGGGGAAGGTGTATTATATGGGAGGCGTCGTTGGTGACTGGCTGGTGTGTTGAGCCTCTATAAACTGCATAGATGGGTACCAGAACGTGCACTGCTTAGTCTTATAATTTTCTTTGACTCATCACAAGTTAGATACCACAATTTTCAATCATCGTTTCTTTTGCTTTTCGTTCCCTTTGTCCGTTACATTTCTCATCACGCGCGATTACATAGATCTCATCACAATAGTTTGTATATGGATTCATACCGTATCCGAAATGTATTTAAACTTTATACATACTACTCGCTACCATCAAAACGATGCAATCAAATCACCCAACTCCACATTATGATTTTCAATACGAAGAAATTAGTAAAACACAACCCCAACTCTCAACTCCCCAAATTCCCATACTGCATAATTCATCAAATCTTCTTCTTCTTATCTTCCAGCCTTTCGATATTCATGCTCACAATACCATCCATTCGATCGTTAACCAAAAAAGACGTCAAATGCAATATAGTTCAGATGCCTATGCAATAAAAGTGATCAAGTTCAATATAATTCACTACCTAGTCCTATTCATCCATCTCATTTCACCACATCTCATCTTTCACATCTGCATCACTCACTAGGTACGAACAGCCCTCTTCCCTACTCTCCTCCCCAAATCCATGCGCTCGCAAATTTCTTAGCGATGACAATGAAGATTCTCGGGAAAACATCAATTCCAACATAGCTAGCTTGGATGTGAACGAAAAGTACCTACCTATTGAGTTTCAAATTCCTTAGTTAGGTAGATACTAGGTAGGTACCCATCAAGGTAGATTCTATCATTCACTTTTCATACTGTCCCATCTCATTCACTTCCACATCGCACAATCTCATCACAATCCACCTCATACATTTCTCTACTTCATCTCATCTCTCTCGAATCTTACCGCATATCCATCTCTATCTACCCATGTAGGTAGATATATCCCAGCACTAGCATTAGCAACGACATTCATTCATTCCGTTCCAAACAAGTAGCATTTGCTCCAAAACTCTCGCTCTATTATTCACTCGATCAACTAATTTCGCTTCTCTTCCCTTGATTTCCTCTTTCGAGTCCAAAACTATAAATACATTTCGTACATAATATAACAAATGTTTTATATACTCCTCGCTTCCACATCCATCTTAAACCCCCATCCCGTTTTTCCCGAATCTCCTCCTCGTCGTCCTCGTTCTCACTTTCCTTCTTCGTCACACTGGTCCTGCCCACTCATAGAATATTCAACACCTCCCACGAGCCTCTGACCTCACTTCGAAGTTCAAACTATCGTCATCGATGGCACGGTCACATTCAGAGCACAAAGCACAAAAACAATCATTATTTGAAAACTTGTAGAATTCCATTCATTCATTCAATCATATCTCATATCTATCATTCCAACCATCGTCAATGGCCATGTTCATCAATCAGCACCCAGGTATTTAGATCACTGGTCTGCATGAATATTCAATCATATCCTCATGCCCTCCCTTATCAAATCTCTCTTCTCTTCTCTTCCCGCTCTCTTCCATTGTTCAACTCCTCCCAAGTGAACCATCCCATATACCATGCTCCTATCCGTCCATGCACTCTCGCAAACAAATGCCACAAAACTCAATCAAATCATCTTAAGTCATCCTGTCCCTATATGTAATCCATCAATTTCACCTATCCTCCTCCTCCGCCACTCACTCACTCATCGCGAGAATTGCATAGTAGCAATGTAATTTGCGTATCAATACCCAATCCACCCAACCCATCCAATCAGAGGTACCATCCGGTCATAAAACTACAACAACGATGAATAACTAACTCGATCCAATGCAATAGCAAAGTTCAGACTCCTGTAGCGACATATCGACGAGAGAGCCAAAAGCGAAAACCAAGAAAGAAGAAAGATTTGTAACAATTTCTTTTCTCAATTTTCTCGGCTAGATGTATCAGAGAAAAATTCTCTTGTCTTCTCGATCCGATTAGCTGGCTGCATAGCCTGTCTGTTTTATTGCATAATTCATCGTGTTCGTGTTATCCCCGTGAAAAAAAAGTAAAAAAAAACACAACCAGCAAATACTGTAGAAAGAAAAGTGGGGAATCATCATGTGCTGCGCTGTCGTTACTGTATAAAAAGGCGTATTGTGTTTAAAAAGTCGGTGTCGATACAAGAAGAGTAATTTATGTAACAAATTGTAAAAAGAGAAAAGCTTGCTGAGTAAAAGCTTAGTAGACCGATTCACGACCACGAGCTGTGGCATAGGGCGTATATTCGCGATGATTTCCCGATTCGGTAGCTCTTCTATCGACATAATGCGTTCCAGACGAATAGACAATATTGTCGGGTGTGATTGGAGCAGAAAAGTTTACATTGTATTGTGGTGGATATCCACCACGACTTGTGGCCCGAGCAGCCTCTCGAGGTTTGGGTTGGGCATTGACAACTACGGGTTCAGTCGGTTCGGGCGCAGATGTTGGGTGATATCCCCGTGACCGAGATCGCACCTGACGAGAAGCACTTCCACCACTTCGTGCCAAAGGAGGACGAGTGGTTCGACGAGGAGATGGACTTCGAGGTCGCGTGTAAGCAGCATCGCGGAGATCTGATCGATAAGTAGAGCCCTTGAGTTCACTTCGCCCATTACTACCAATGACGTAAGTTTTGGTAGTACCAGAAGGCTCAGGAGCTCGAGGCTGTCTAACATGAGAATATTGTGGTGTTGGTGATGGCGACTCAGAGTCAGATCCAGAATCAGAGTCTGACGCCGGATTTTGAACAACCCGAATTGGTCCACGACCTCTATCCCTAGTGTCTGTCTTCGTACCCATGCCTTGTGTAAATGTAGCTGCTCTGGTAAATGTAGGTGGTGGAGGTGGCTCTCGAGGATACTCCGTCTTTGATCGACTAGGTTCCCGTCTACCCGATCCAACTCCAACTATCGGTGGCTCCGAATATTGTTTGTTAAGGGTAGGTTTCGTAGGAGGTGAAGTTGAGGCGGTATTCACATATGGTGACTCCCTAGTCGAGCGTCTACTTGGCTTAGGCGTATCTTTACTTTTCGAAGGAGTCTCTGCAGAACGGCGTGATGGTCGTGCTGCTGATCTTCGTGGTGTTTCATCATCACTATGATTTTCATAAGCAGCAGATGGGTGTACTTTGTAGTGATTGTTATATGGTGTAGATGATGGTGCAGCAAATGTTTCTGCTCGACGCATAGTGGGCATTGCAGGTGGCGCTGGCGCAAATGGCACTTCTGGTTTAATATCCGACTCTCTGCGTGAAGCTTGTACATAACGTGCAGCATTTGCCATATGATCCTTCCACTTCTCTCCCATCGGCGAGTCTTTCACCTCTGGAGGGTCTCGTTCTCGTTCTCGCTCTCTTTCCCGTTCCCTCTCTCTCTCCCTCTCCCTCTCGCGTAACTCTCGTTCTCGTTCACGTTCTCTGTCACGAAGCTCCCACTCTCTGTGCTCCCGTTCTTGTTGAAGTCGAGCAGCAGTTTCGGCCCTCAATTCCTCTGTCCTTCGTGCGGCTCGTTCCGCTTTTCGTCGAAAATCATCCCCACTGGATTCGTCTTCAACATATGTGCCTGGACGCACTTTCTCTTCGGTGCCACGTCTCTTCTCCTTGTCGCGAGACTTCTTTCGATCTCCGTGATCACGCTTAGCTTCCTTTTCCATCTTCCGTCTCATCTTCTCTCTTTCATCTTCTTCCTGTTGTCTCCTTCTTTCTCTTTCATCTCTATCCGAATCTCTAGTTGTTGTTTTGGATCTCCTAACAGATGGTCTCGGAGTTTCTTCGTACAAATCCTCATAAGATCTCGGTGGCGGTTTTGAATACACATTTGACTCTTTTGGTGGCTTTTGTGCAGTCTTTGGATACGAGGAACTGTATGTTGACGGTCTAGGTTCTGCGGTCCTAACATTGTATTCATAAGTTTTACTAGTCGAAACTGGATTCGAAGTCGAAGTTGAAGTTGCAGTTTTGCCCAACTCCTCTCTCAGCTTCTGCAGTTTGACTGTTTGGTCATATTCGGATCTTCTTGATACATCACTAAGTATTTCATATGCTTCTTGAACTTTTTGAAATTCATCGACCTTTATTGCCTTCAATTGAGGATCTTGAACCTTGTCCGGATGACACTGGAGAACAAGTTTCCGATGTGCTAATCGAATCTGAGGTAATGTCGCTTCTTTATCAACACCGAGGATTTTATATGGATCTGTAGGGAGGCGTGGCGAACTCATGGCGAAAGAAAAATGGCGGTATTAGGTTGAAGTAATGAGAGATGGGAATGTGCGTAATGTATTGCTCGTAAATTGCAAACCTTCGTGACTGATCTATTGCATTGTCGTCGAGGAGCAAACGAAGAAATCGATGGAAGTGATCTGCTATGAGAAGTGAAGATAGAAATCTATTGACTGCAATGCGAAAGTTGTGTAGCTGATTATATTAAAGAATGTTGTAGAAAGGAAGAATGTTGAGAGGATTCAAATCTGAAAAGAGCTGAAAGGATTTACTATTCAAATATCGGTAGGGTAATTGTTGATATGCAAAGGATCCGAATGGTATTGAAGAGAAGGTAATTTGTCAACAGAGGAGTTGAGAGATGTTTGGAAATATCTTGGATCCGATCTTTCCCAATCCTTGAAAATCTTTGGGAGTCCAGGTTCTGGGAGGCTTGGATGGGTTGAATAGTGAATGAGGTCACGGATTATCCCGACTGGGTAGCAGGTACCGTACCCCGTTAAAATTGCAAATTACCTATGGGATGAAAACGGGCTCCAACCAAGGGACCGAGATGCGAACCACGTGGAATAGTAAAGGCAAAAGACAAGGCAAAACTAAGGCAAAATTGAAAGGTCGAAAGAAGAGGCTGGAATTGATTGGTGATTGATTGAAGATACCAAGACGATGTGAGATCCCAAAGGGTGAAATCTTGAGTCAGCAAGGCGCAGCGAAATCAACGGGAGAGCGGAAACCAGTCAAGATCCCGTGAAACCAGCGAAGAAGAAAAAGAAAAGTCTTCCGTAAGCTTGTGGCGATTTGTAACCTTCTTCAAGATTGTTCCAAAAGGAATTGAATGGACAGAATGGAAATGGAGCGGTAGAGCGAATGATGTGTACAAATTTGGCTTTCGGGTCGGATGTATACAGAGAATGGTTCCGTCCGGTGGTCGTCAGAAGTGAATACGGAGTATTCGTAGCGAAGAGGAGCAGTAGTAGTAGTAGAACAGTGGAAGTGGAAGAAGTAAATGAAGAGTGCGGTTCCCAGGTGTGA